GTCGCAATGCAGCGTACCCCAAAGGACAATGAGAGGGGAGAAGCAGGCAGAAGGAAAATGAGTTTCAGGAATGGTAAAGGGCAGGAACTTCAGGGACAGCCCTTCTTTTGAGGAAATCCAGATATTCTCTGGCTTCCCCTAAAGGAAACAGTTTCAATCAGCCTTTGTCCAACCTAAAAAAGCCACAGAACAAAAGGCTCCACAGACTATGGAATGCTGTATTAAAAGTATTTCCACCACTAGGTGTCAGCCCAATTTAAYACATCATATGTCATATTTCTTTAAATAAAATATCACTTGTTATACTTTAATCTTTTAACTACATAATGGAAATATTCATACATATTTATRTAATGTATATGTACACTTGTAACATTCAAGCTGACTTTGGGGAACATACCTAATAACAATTTCAGAAAAGCATGCAAATACCTAAAACCTTTTYGAAACTCAAGTGGAGAACCTGCTTTCAGAAAGGAACATTTCATAGAATCATTTAGAATGGAAAAGTATTTTAAAACCATAGAGTTCAATCACTAACCCAGCCCTGCCAAGTCCACCACTAAACCACGTCCCTAGGGGCCACATCTACCTGTCTTTTAAATATCTCATTGGATGGTGACTCAACCACTTCCCCRGACTGCCTGTTCCAGGACTTGACAATGCTTTCTGTGATGAAATTTTTCTYAATCTTCCATCTAAACCTCCCCTCACACAACTTAAGGACAGTTGTCCCTCTTGTCCTATCACTTCCTACTTGGGAGAAGACATTGACCCCCACCTGGCTACACCCTCCTTTCAGGAAGTTGTAAAGAGTGATGAGCTCTCATCTCAGCTTTCTTTTCTCTGGGCTAAACACCCCCAGCTCCCCCAGCTGCCCCTCATAAGACTTGTGGTCCAGACCCTTCCCCTGCTCTGCTGCTCTTCTCAACACTCGCTCCAGCCCCTCTGTCTTTCTCGAAGTGAGAGGCCCAAAACTGAGCAGAGGATTTGAGGTGTGGCCTCATCAGTGCCGAATGCAGGGGGACAATCCCTGCCTTTGCCCTGCTGGCCACACTGTTTCTGATCCAGGCCAGGATGCCATTGACCTTCTTGGCCACTCGGGCACTGCTGATTCATGTTCAGCTGCTTCATTGAGCAGATTTCCAACCACTCTGTCCCAGCCTGTAGCATTCCATTGTTGAGATCAAGGTGCAGGACTCGAYACTCGACCTTGTGGAACTTCACACAATTGGCCTTGGTCCATCAGTCCTGTCCAGTTCYCTTTGCAGAGCCCTCCTACCCTCCAGCAGATCAACACTCCTACTTTGGTGGCAACTTCTCACAAACTGACAGAGAGCGCTTGATGCCCTCATCTATCTGGTTGATAAAGCTTTTAAATAGCTTTAATATAAAGCTGGGCTGGCCCAAATACTGAGTCATGGGGAACAGCACTGGGGAACATCCAGCCACCACCTGGATGTGTCCTCATTCACCACTGCTTTCTGGGCCCAGCTATCAGTCAGTTTTCTACCCAGCAGAGCCTGGATTGCCTGTCCAAGCCCATCCATTTGGAGTTTTTGAAGATGATGCCCTTTCACACTCAGAGAGCAGTGAACATATAAGGGCCTATGGACAGTACTTAATCTGTTTTAAAATTAAAGCCCTAATAGCTAAAATGAGAGCTGAAAAGRTTGAGGTAGAATATTTGCTCTGCCACTCTTTTCTGAAGCAATGAATTCATTAACACCACAGAGCCYCTGCTGGTTATGACATAAAAGCAGATGGACCATTTATCAACATTTTGTCCAGGAGTGAATCAAATAACTGTCATATCACTTTGGAACAGGCTCTGTATGAGCACTTTCTGTCATTCAAATTAACACCATCTCATCTCCACCTGCAGGGTTAAAACACACAGAATGGGGATGTAGCACTGAAAAAAATRTTTATTCAGAGTGTTATGCCTTCAGTGATAAATATGCATGGGCTCTTCAAAGCAGGCATCAAAAACAAAAAAAAGGTGGTTATAAAGTCTCCTGTAATTAAATTTTCATTCTCCTCTCTAGGGGAAGCATGATGAGACAAAACTGAATGTGAATAAATGGACCTGACTGACATTACTCTCTGTCAGAAAGAGCTTACAAAGGAGAGTCCCCAGGCAATACCTAACACAGCTTCTGCAGGCTCACCAGGTGATGTAAAGCACTGCAAACAAAACAATGGGAGAGCAGGAAGAGGGGAAAAAATAATAAAAAACACTTAACAAAATATCCACAGAAAACAAAACCAAACAACAAACATTCAGTACCTCCCCCCCAAAAAAAACCCAAATTCATTCTCACATGCACATTCCCCCTCTCTGCCCACCAAAACCAAACAGAAAGAAGATCCAAGTAAATCTTCCCCCAAGAAGCCCAACAGAACTGGCAATGATCCAGGGAAAAGAACTCTTCTAGAAAAACACCCTCCTTTCCAGCAATGCAGAAGCAACAGCCTACAGTTTTTCCTTGCACACAGCCTCCCTCTCCTGTCAAAAAGATGAAGTTTCAGTTCTGAAATAAGCTTGTATCACACTGCAACATATAATCCTTTCAAAGCTGACCCAGAATCTGCTTCCTGATATCTCACCTGATAAGCATCATAGAACATTCAAATCAGTGTCAACACCAAAGCTAGGAAGGCTGAAGAAATGAGAGATGTGCTACAAAACTGTTAGCAAAAAMCAGAGATGACTAATATCAAGCATAGACAGAACTGAAGCAGAAACATGAAGCAGGAAATTTTATTCCAAACATGATAATGTATGTAGCTAAGAGAGAGAAATGGGCCCAYGACAATAATATTATTTTCAGAAGCGACATCAGAGATGACTGAGAACAAAAGGCAAAAAAAATGGCCCCTTTACAACGTAAATCAACCTGGACCTCCAACCTGGATTTCATTTCTAAACCAAATCCTAGAAATGTGATAAGTTTTAGACCCAGACATGGGCCATAACTCAGACAGAAATGTTCTTGTAGGTCCTCTGGCATGTTTTCTAGCAGCTTGCCCCTTCCTTTGGACTCCCCTTTGCAGCCTTACTCCAACAGAAGCTCTAGGATTTACCCTTCACCTAAGCAAAGGCACAAAATTTCAAGCCAAGAATCCTAGGAAAAGCTCCAAACCAATATTCTTGAGGTGGTAAAGCTTTTGGCAGTCCAACCTTTTCTTGGCAATTCCCTTCAATCCAGATGAAGTGTAACTTGAGTCTTTGCCTCCAATCCTAGCCCTTCTCTCATCCTCAGCCCTCAGACTCCAGCTCTGACTTAGGCCAARCAGGTCTCAGGGAAGAGCCCATATAGAGCCCATATACTGCCTTGTCATCACCATGCTCTCATGTGCAGGCAGAACAAGCTTTTTGCAAATTTTCTGAATTCTTACCCCAATGAACATCTACATGGAGCTAAACAAAATATAATTACAGTAGACTCAAACCTAACATTGTGTTCACTTAGCATRTTTCAGTTTGGGTCAATGCATCCTCCATTCATACATAATGTTACACTTATTTCAAGAAAATGTAACAATATGCATTATACACTAGATGATGGGGGCCTGAAAATTGCTATATCCAACCTGGCCCTGGGCACCCCCAGGGATGAAGCATCCACAGCTTCCCTGTACAACCTGTTCTAGTGCCTCACCATTCTCACAGTCAAGATTTTTTCCTAATATATGATCTAAACTTACCATCTTTAAATTTGAACCCATTTCCTCCATTGATTCTGATGATGATATATTAATATATTTTCACCAGATTTTCCTGGAAAAAAAACAGGAAAACTACAATATAGATGTTTACCAAGATTACCTCATTCCTTCCATTCTCCCATGGTCTAACTAATTAATACACTTCAGAAGACTTTTTGCCAGACTCTGCCAGGCTCACAGAGACTTAACAAAAGCTGGCATTCTCTCCAACTAGCACTCCAGGGAACTGCTACCTGCAGAGGAATGAAACACRTTTCAGGTTCAGTGTTCAAGACATCTGATCTCTAGAAATAAATTTCCTTTCACCTCAGAAACACTTGGACAGCTTCTTATTCTTTGCCAACATTAATTGGAAAGAAGAGGAAACATTAACTCAGGTTCAAGCTGTCTAGCTCAGTAATCTACAATTGCAGCAAATTATTTACTGAAGGAGCTACAAGTGATCCAGGACTGCTATGGAGCTGCCCACAACAGGATGGAACAAGCAGGGAAACTGCAACTACACAACATTTACGTTCATGGTAGATGGAAGATACACACTGAAGATTTCAGATATCTGTGGCTTCAGACCAGAGTAATGCACTGGGAGGCAAAAAACGACTGTGGTGGGCTGACCCTGGCTGAACAACAGCTTCCCAGCAAAGTCACTCCTGTAACTTGTCACCTCATCCGGAGGAGGGAGAGAAAACAGAAAGCTCATGGGTCAAGATAAGGACAGGGAGAGATCACTCACCAATCACCATTACAGGCAAAACAGACTCAACTGGGTGAAATTAGTTTATTGCCAAACAAATTAGAGTAGGGCAACATAGAGATGGAAATGAAGTCTTAGAGCACCCCTCCCTTCTTCCACGGCTCAACTCCACACCCTTTCACAGGGTGCAGCCCTTCAAGGAACAGACTGTCTCACCGTGGGTATCCCACAGGGTCACAAACCATCGTCACTATACCACACTCAACCTTTAAATCAAAACCACCCACTCCACAGCCCTGCCCGGCCGGACGCTTTTATAGAACAGAGGCACTGCTGGGCGGCCCCCGGCTCCGGCTCGGTAGCTCCATTGGGCAGCCCTTTCRTCAATCACTGTGAGGGGGAGCTGCCCGCGGCTCTGCTCTGCCTGCCGGGCGCTTGCGCGAGTCCCGTGGGCGTTTCCCGGGGCTTACCCGAGGCTGTCCGCCCGCGGGGGCCGGTCCCGGGCCGTGTCCATGGAGCAGCGCCGTGGGAGGGGCCGGAGGCCGCGGCAGGGGCGGCTCGGGAGGGCCGGGTGACGCCTGCCGGGCGGCGGCATCGCGGAGCTGCAGCGGCGGGGCAGGCCCTCAGTGCCCGGCGCAGCCCTGCCCTCGTCCCGCCGAGCGGCGGATGGGCACAGGGGGGGCAGCGGCTCGGCCATGGCCAGCGGCGGCCCCGAGGAGGGGGAGGCGGTGGCGGGGGAGGAACAAGCCCTGAGGAAGCTGGTCGTCCGGCTCCAAAACGTCCAGGAGAGGAAGCGGCTGGACACGCTGGTGCAGACCCTCAGCGACCTGCTGGAGCTGGCGGCCCGGCAGAGCGGTGAGCGCCCTGCCCTGCCCTGCCCTGCCCTGCCCTGCCCTGCCCTGCCCTGCCCGCCGCCAGTCGCTAACGCGGTCTCTGTATCTGTCTCTGTCCCCCCACAGCTCCTCGGCTCTTCAGCGGCAAAAACGTCCACGTGCCCCTGCTGCTGGTGGTGGATCTGTACCCGGGAGCGGCGGGCGTGCAGCAGGTCAGGGGCCGGGCAGGGCGGGGGTCGGGGCCGCTTCCCCCGCTCCGGCTGCGCTCCGCGGGATGAGCGAGCGCGGCCCTGCCCGGGATAAAAGTTCTTGTTCGGCCTGTTGATTTCTCCCTAACTAGCGGTTTCCTGGGCCGCCTCATGAAGGGCTCTGATCTCTAGAAGGGCGCTGTCACCGCTGGCGTTTAAAGGGACCAAGCGTTCCAGCTTTTTGCAGACGCCACTGGCTGCATCCCTGTTTTTATCGTCAGAAGGAGGCGAAATAGAAAATAAAAATTAAGCAGTGTGAATACTGTGTAATGTAGGGTTCTAAATTGCCAATAATATTATCTAGTATCATTTGGACGTGTCCATGTTGAATTTTGCAATGGTTGGACAAACTTCTGAAAAGCAGAATGTTAYGATATGAATTCATACATACCTAAACCTGATCTTGAGAGTTGTGCTAGCACAGTTTTTTTAAGGGAGGGGGGAATATTTTAAATAAGAATAGGTTCGGCAAAATGAGGTTCTGCCTCCCTGCTCCTGTAATTTAGCATTGGCCCACTTGGACTAGGTGTGGCACTTGCACAATTTGATGTTGTACTTATGGTACAGCTGCCAGACTTGTCATACGAAACAGCTCATTCCTGGCAGGCAGAAATTAAATTTCTGACTATGCTATGCATAGAGGATGTTTGTAAACTCCAGATTTCTGTGGAACTCACTTGATTTTTTTTTTTAATTATAAAGCCCCATTTATTTTGTTACAATAYTTTTGGCATGTTTTGGGATTTTTTCAATTCAACTGGAAGGCAAAACATGAATTATATAAGATTTTGGTTGTTTGTTTTTTGTTTTTTTTTTTGTGTACTAGACCTTAGCTAGAGGTCGAAAGCCCAAAATTCAGCTCAAGTATGACTGTATTTCTATAGGGATTAATCTGAAATAACAATGATCTCAGGTTTTCTTTGAAGACTAAATTTGTGCAGTGTCTGAAGGTTTTGCTTATTTTATGTTGATTATCARGCTGTTAACAGATACAGGAAGATGAATCAGCAGTTATTTTCAAGATAAAGCATATTACATGTATAATGGTTTATAAAACCTCTGCCCAAAAGTTTAAACTAGGAAGTAAAACATCAATCACAGCAAGAAGTATGGTGTGAAATGATAGCACAAGACTCAGAATTGCATAAGGAAGATAATRATTAATTTTCATTTTAACTCTTATTAAAACACTTCACTCTAATGCAGAATTTTAAAATTAATTTGAGACTTCTACTTTCCTAGATTTGCAGTCATACAGGGTTTCAGTGTAGAAGTTCTGGACCTCCTTCGCATTACAATGTTGTATTGGAGTGGAAAATTCATAGCCAGTACAAAGTTCAAATCCTATTCCTCATAAAATGTCTTAGGCAGTTCTTTAACATCCAGTTCTGATGTTTATAAACTTTCACACTGTGTAAATAGAACTCTCTTCTTGCTTCACTCACTGCTATTTGTGTGTAGTCTTTGTGAATAAACAATTCTCACTTTACAGCAGTGGTGAAGTAATGAGGTCCCAATTTCAGTGCAGTCTCTCTACATCATGATGATTTTTTATTGAATAAATAATTAATCAACCTCATTTTACTTCTGGCATTGTAAAAAAATTGACTTACATAAGAGAATAAATATATAAAAAAATTATACAGTCAGAGACATACCTGAAGTGAGAATTTTCTTTACCTCCCCTCCTTAACTGGTTAAAAAACATTGGATTGTGCTGCTGTTCCACTGACTTGTACAGGGTAAATTTGCCTAGTAGATCAGTATTGAAAGTACTAACCCAAGTSAGACTGCAGGCAAAAGCCCTGCTGAAGTTCCTTCAGAAGCAGGAAGGTACTTGTGTGGAAAGCCAGTAATGCCCGAAAGGTAAAATAGATGCCTTTAAGTTAATGTGGTAGTTTTCTGCAGTTAYTCTGGTAATGACTGGAGCTACTTAGAAACTCTAGAGCAAAATACGAGTGCACTTGACTAAAGAGCAGAGCTTTATTGTCTCAGGTAGATGGTGTGACCTAATGTAATATAAATTAATTATATACTAGAAATTAAAAAAGTCATTATAAAATAGTGAATGTCAGTGCTGCTACCAACTGTTTCTGTGTATAGGGACCTGTTTAAGTGTTTGTAAGGACATCTTTGTTTGCTTTATTTCCGTTCCCTCTAACCTTTAGGATTTGTATTATTTAAAAGACCCTTTTTTTCTTACTTAATTATTGAACATCTAAAGAGCTCTSTGTTGTCTCAGGTTGTAATTTTAATATTGTAAAATGACCACAAATCAGCATGTCAGATGTTTCCATTGGACTTCTTTGAGTCCACAGTTTGATAAATGTTTGTCAATGTTTGTTACGACCTGAAGTCCTAACATTCCAAACAAAAATGTTTAATGGGAATATAAAATCCATCAGAAACAGTTAATACAGAAAGGAATTTTCTAAAGTCATTAAGCAAGTTTTCATCAGATTCTAAATTTTGTAGGGGCAGTTGGATGTTCTTATAAAGTGTTACTTCTAAAATAAAATCTTTTCTAAGGGATAAACAGTTTATCAATTAATAGTCACTTCTACAATGTTTCTGAAATTTGTACCTGATCTACTGTCACTAATAAACTCCATTTTGCTTGGAATATGAAAAATTGGGGAATTCCATGTCCTCATCTTGGAGAGGACTGATGGTTGCTAAGATTGTTCATTGTACCCGCACTTAGTTAGGACTCACTTACACAGACCAGCCTGAATGTCTGTAGCAWATTATTTGTAGTCTCATGTAGGGCAAGCCAGCTTGCTATGCAAGGAAGAGAAGGGCATGGAAATTGGCACAGTCTGCAGACATTAAGGTTGCAACTGGCTTAAAACATTTGGTTCTGCAAATCTAAACTGAAACAGAAACAAAGTGCTGCAGATATGGRCTATGCTCACACTGCAACCAAGTATGTGAAGGACAAAAGCAGAATTCCAGTCCCCAGGGAGCTACATCACCTTTTGCATGCTCTGCAAAGCTGTCAGGAAGGTGGTGTAGGTTCAAGCCTCTGCTATTCCTGTGGGTGACTACACTACCAGGCTTGTAATTCTGTGTCTCTAGTCATACTGATTGCAGGGTTAGGGATCATGCACTTTATATGAACTTTGCTGTTTAACTCTTTGGAGGTAGCCATTTACATTCCTGTTGTTGGCTGTCCCATCTTAACCTCTTTCCTTTACATAACTTCTGTGAAAAAGCGATCCAGTTACACATAGAGTCTTTGTGACACGTTGTCTTCTGTCTTGACTCTATTCTTAAAGCACACAGGCCTGCTTCTACCTTTTTATTTACTTATATGCTCAAGGAAACTCATATGTCTTGTTATAATTCCTTTGTGWAAAATCTTCATCTTGACTTTTGACATTTCACAGTTCACTGCTTTTCTTTCCGTACAGAGGGGTTTTCTTTCATCGGTTATTTCTTTGTACAGATTTTGCTGACTGCTTCCTCACTGCAGCCCATTCAATCACATCAGCCCTTAAACATTCATAACAGAGCAGATTTCTCCAATACAGAAGATCAAAGAGGAACATTTTTAGGTTTTGGCATTATTTACAGATGCGTACACTTGCATAGGATGGAACAGGTAGTTATTAGGAACAAATACACTTGGTTTGATTGTCTTTCATYCCTTGTTATCTCAAAATTCCACTTCCTTTGTTACATTTTGAAAGCACACAGTACTGAGGGYTGACGGCAAGAATATGAAATATGCGGTAATTATTTATGTGTCTCATCCTCATTTAAAACATTGAACACCTTTTAAAAACCTAAATTTTRTCCTTGCAATTTGCAATTAAAAGGCAAGTTCTTATGGAAACAAACATTATTCAATAAAGCTGGACCTGTAATAGTGCAGGGGTTTTCCCTGGCCCATGATGACATACTATGGATTGCATCATGTTTCTGTCTGTCAGCATCTTATTTAAATGTGTGCCCTTTATCCTTAAGCAGCACTGAAACAGATTGAGAGTGATGCGTTCCTACAAGCGATGAATTCAGAATAATTTCATGCCATTTTTCCTGTGTTAATTAATTTTCCCTTACTGATTTAGCTAGGTAACAGAACAGCTGTGTTGCAAAAGGCATGATATTAGAAGACGAAGTTGCAAGCARAATATCTGTTCTAAAATAGCTGCATTTTTGTTTTACAGATGGGCTGGTCACTTCTTTGTAAATTGTTAGAAATTTGTCCAAGTACTCTACAAAACATAGCTCCTAAGGATGTTGGGAAGGACTGGGAAGTACTGGGTGTTCATCAGTAAGTATTTTGTATACAAAGAGTCTGCCAGAATGCTTGGTCATTCTGGCAACATATATATTCAATGAAATATATAAAGTTATTACATCAGCTTTTTTGTGGATGTCTTCAGCCTTCAGAATGTGACACTCATACAAACAGGGATCTTATCCATGTGTATAAATACCTGGTGCAGAAAGTGAAAAATCAGGCCTTTCTTAYTGACCCTCAGTGACAGGATGAGAAACAATGAGCCTGAACTAAAATATAGAAAATTCTACTTACACATTAAAAAGAACGCCAAGCAACCTTTTTGACAGATGCAGTATTACATGGATATTTGTAYATGTACTTTTATATGTGAAGAATTATGTACACAAGCTTAAAATACTGTAAACCAAGAAGGTTTGCTACATTTAATATTATTGTGTTAGATGTATTTACACTGATCACCTCAACTACCTGTGAAGTCAGTGGATACAATTACCTTCCGAAGGGATGKTTTGTTCCATCTTTTTAGTAAGAGGAGCAGATTGTGGTTTGGACTTGCTCAACTCTGTCCATCAGCTGTCAAGGGAAGTCTTAGCAAGTGTTTTCTGGTTGTCTGTGGTTAGATGGGATGAATGCCCAACAGGTTGGCTGAATAGTTGCCCAATAGCACAAATGCTAATTGTAGATGTAGGCACAATGCACATGAGGTTGGTTTGGGGGACTTGGTTTGGTGCTGTCTCTCTTGAACAGATTTCTGCCTTCAGGGCTGATAATGACAGTAATAAGCACAACCTTATAACCTTGTGAATCTGCCTCCATAGTCCTCACCACACCCTTCCCTGGAAAGGTTGCTATTGAAATATGGCGTGAAGGTCCATTTTGATTTTGTGGAGGTTTGTTTATTTGTTTTATAGTGGCTTGAATACATGGTCAGTAGGGGATTGAGTGCCCTTGAAAAATGTGCTGACAGTTTTTGTTGGAAAGCAARAGTGATTTGGGTTGCTCTTCATGAACAAGAAATAACTGAGCTGAAGCTGCACATTAGTTACAAATTCTTTGTCAACTTAAAAGATTGTTGTTGAAAGTTGTTCTGAGAGCTGGAGATACTCCTGCTCATTCTCAGGTCCCAGACTGATCTTTCCCACAGCCTCCTCAGCACCCACACAGTGTGTGCAGTTAACAAAGTATCCTTTTCAAACTCAAGCTTCACTAAAGATCTGATGATAGCATTGCTGTACATGATTGCTTCTCAGTACCAATATTTTAGCCAACTAAGTATCCCTCTCTGACATTGACAGTTTTCCTTGCTGTGGAGAGACTTAGTGGGGGAGTGGCCCTCAGGCATTTCTGTCTGTGCCAAAGACAGAGCAAGCCGGCTAAATTATGTCTCATGTTCCTTGTGCGTAGATTGGATTAGAATTGCCGTGAATCAACGCCATAATGAATACTTGCTGTTTACAGCAAGGCAGGAAACAGTTACAATAGAGAAGGAAAGGTCATTTTTTTGCAAGAGATTTTCCTTTCTGTTTGTGTAACTATTTTTGCAGAATAGGAATCTTAAGCTAGAAAAAGCATTTCTTTCTTTTGTCTCCCAGCTRTGATCCAACTTGACCACTTTGCAGTCATGTTTACAAATGGTAGTTTACTATTGATTTAAGTGTTCTTGACAGTGTGATAAAAAATTAAATAGCTGCTATCACTATAAGAGGAAGAGAATTTCCTTCTGTGCATTTGCATTCTTTCTGCAAGCTGAAAGAGACTTTATTAGATGTTTTGTAATCTCATATGTTAAACTCTGTTACAGCAGAAGATGTTTAGAAAGTTTTACATCCTCCTTSGTTATATTTGAAATGGGAGGATGTATGGGAGAGAATTTTCTAAAGGCAAAGGATGTTATACCTCCCATCAGATTTTGCCTCCTGTGTCTACTTTGGTCATCTTAGCTACAACACTAATGCTACAACGGAGAAGAGAGAAACTAGGAACATCGTAGTATGAAGGGAAAACAGGGATTCTAAATTTTTTAATTTAGACTTCAGCAAGACAAACAACATCATTGCCTGAAGTGGGGGATAAAAATTTGGATGAAACTATTAAGTGCTGCTTATATTTTTCAAGACAGGTAAAGAATATCAACTAAAGTATCACAAACTACTGCCCAATCCATTTGTATTAGATATTATATATACAAAGATTCATACTGAAAGATTGTTAAAATTGCAGTCAAGCTCTCTAAAATAATGAAAAGTAAAAAAAAAGAAAGTTGTTTCCGTTGGTTTTTCTGTGTGCATGAATCTATGAATTTTGGGTCTTAATTACAGGATTTGCCCCTCCTTTTGAAATGTGCTTCATTCAGTGTGAAATCTATGCTTTTAAAATTTTATTCATTGAAGAGGTGCTACAGATTTTTAATCACTGTTTTACAGATAGTAGTTTGAGTAAAATATGTTAAAAATATAAACTGATTTTAAAGTGCCCAGTTTTATACTCAACCTGAGTTTTGCAGTACTTGGCATTGTTTGGCTCTCTCTATTTAACAAGTCAACTTTGGTTGTCTCTGATGCAGCATTTCAGAGGTTAATGTTCATGGGTCTCAATCTGGGCTATACAGAAAGTAGAGCTTGCAAGTGGCTATCTAGGAGGTATTTGTTTTTAGTGATTTGTCCAGCATCATGTAAATGCTGTATGGCTGAAACTTAGATAGGGTTAAGTTCATCAAGATGCTGTTCAAGTTCTTCAGCTGGGAAACTGCTGCTTCTGTTCCACCAAACTCTTGGCTGTTCACTGTAGCTGAGCTCTTGCTGCAAGCAGAGCAGTGCTGTGTTGTCCACATTGTGGTGCTCCACAACCCAGTGCTCTGGAGAGTAACCATCTCCTGAATGAACCTGCAGAATTAATTTATGCAGCTAGCTAAAAATTAAAGTAAACTGGGTAAATTATACTGGGTAAATAAACTGGGTATATTATATCAGTATTTTAATGAAGTACGATTGTAGTTAAAATTCCGATATTACTTCATTGGTAACTTAAAAAAAAATAAACTGGTACAAAAGGGATTTTTTTTACTGAATTAAGTTTTTGAAGGTTTTGCTATATTTCTGTAACTACTTTTGTTTTCAAAGGAAATGTTTGATAAAAAGTTGTGTATGCCAGTATTTCTTTAGCTATAACTCTTTTCTCCCCTTTTTTTTTTTTTATTTTTAATTTTTAGGCAGATTCTTAAAATGCTTACAATCCACAAAGGAAATATAAATCTTTCAATAACAGGACTAAAAGCATTAAATCTACTCCTCGTGTCAGGTATTGTGTGGTTTATTTCTACTTCATCTAAGCCTTTAAAACACAGAACTGATATAAAGTGTGTACTACATGGCAGAATGGATTTTTCTCTCTGTTTTACTCAGTGAAGTCATTTGTACTTGCATGCAAAATAATAAGACTACTATTTTGCACCTTCTTTCCCGGGTAGGTCTGGGAACTGTCTTTTTGGCAGTAAAGTTTTAGAATATCAGTTCTATTATAAAATGCTACTTTAAGGAAGAACTTTGTARTGAATTATACAAAGCTGGATTTGAACTGTCAGTAAATTTTAAGAAATTATTTAAGGAATATAAGAATTAAAAAATTTTGGACTTTACAGTGTTTCAATAAAAATGTTGAGAAATAATCAGTGCAACATGTAATCTCTTCTGCTATTCAGACATAATTGCTTTCCTGCTCTTGGAAGAAGAGGTGGATGTGTTTTCCTTGGTATTTAATGCCATGCACACCTTCCCTAAAAATGAAGAGATCCAACAACATGGATGTAAAGCATTAYACCAACTTTTTGAGAAAGGTATTTTATCTTGTAGTTTATTATATTAAAGAAAATTATAGATTAGGAGGGATGACAGATGTTTATTCAAATACAATAATGAATTTTTGCATTCCATATWGATTTGTGTATTATGCCTGTTCTTTAAATGAGCTAGCACAAAACAGGCTTTYCAAGCAATATGACAAATTTTCTAAATTAGATCAATGAATATGACATCTTTTAAAAAAATAAAAATCCCTTCATTTCTAACTCCAGAGTTAACTGAAAAGAGRTGATTTAACATTGGTCAGTAGCTGGAATAAGGAACATTGGCATTTGGTTTAAATTCTCAAAAACAAGGTTTGTGTATTTAAAGACTGGTGAATTTTAATAACGTGTAGTTCTAAAAAGCAAGCAAAATGTTTGTACTTTAGGAAAATACTTGGTTCTGCTTTTTCCCTGACAATGCTAAAAGATGGTCATGTGTCCATATGATATTCCTGTTTATTTTAAAAAATGAAGTCACCATGCATTGAATTTTTGCAGAAATTTCAGGAACTGTTCCTATTACAGCCAGAAGTCCCCTTGTTGTAGTGCCCTTGCTTTGAATTGAGTTTCTTGATCCAAAATAAATACTGAGAAATGCTGTCACTCTGCTGTACTCCTTTGCTTCAAAGATAGTCTCCAGTTATTCAGTTTGGTTCTTTTCAGCTCCATTTTATATTGCTTTTTTAAAGTCTTTCCTCCATGTGTGCTTTGGATTACCTTGTCTGCTCCTTCCACTCTTCCACTTCCCTAAATACTTTTGTCCTGCTCTATTTTCTATCCAGTTTCCACAAAATTCTGAACTTCTTATGTTTTCTGTGCATGTTTTTGGCAAGTGCCAGATTTTCACAGATTTGGCTCCAGGTACAGACCTCCATACCTTCTTCTTGATGGCAGCACTAGTGTAACAAGCTCCTAGGCTTCTCTAGCCTGTTTCTTTTCTAGCTCTGACCTTGTCAGTTATTGTTATGTGGATGTTTGCCTACCCTTTTCTTGAACCAGATTTAGAAAATKATTCTGCTTGTGAAATTTTAAAGGTGTTCTTTCTCAGCCTGGGTCAGCTCCCTTATCTGGTTCATTGCACAGCCACACAGGTCAGTATGAGTAACAGGGGCCAGGAATAGAAAAACCTTAAGCCATTMAGGTAAGATATTATTAAAGCATGGCTTTAGTCTTTGTGGAAAGGAGTCCATTATAAAGAAAAGAGAGAAATTAAATAAAATCACAGAGTATGCAAAATGGTATTCTGTAWTTTTTTTTCATTGTATGTTTAGCTTTTCCCTCATTTATATTGTGTCTTGGTTTGGACTGCATGAAGTTTCTTTCTGTCAAAAAGGGTAAAAGGCTTCTAAAGTGCTAATTCACAAGGTAGCATTTATAAGTCAGAACTCTGGAAAATGGTGTTTATAAAGTAGCTCAGTTTTTAGTTAAAGAAGCCATAATCACGAAAGATGATGTGGATGGAGAGTACTTTAATTTCTGTGAAACATAGAAAACAAATACAAGGGAGCTTGATAAAAAGTTATCCTTTTTTATGATATGCCAGGATAAGAATTATTTCCTYAAAACATACTGTATATCTTGCCTTTCAATTTAGTTCCAGAAGAGCAGCTGACTGAATTTGTTGAAAGCAAAGATCATATGGTCATACTGAAAGTATTTAAAGAGTTTCCAGAGAAAGAAGAGGTGATTCTTCCTGCACTTTATTCATTACATTCCTTAGCTGGTCCACGTAAGTGTATTATTAGAAGTTATTTTCAATTCATTATCTCCCACAATGTGCATCAGCTCACACTTTCTGTGATTGTAAAAAGTAATCTTTATGTGATAGCAAAAAATCAGTGAGAACTGGTTGGGAGTTGCCAGACAAATCACCTTCCTCTTTTCTTTGGGAAATACTTTTTTTTTTTTTAATGGGTTATTTTTTATATTTAACCATTAAAACAGAAATCTCTCCTCAATAACAGAAAAATAATTCCTTCTGCTTGGAGTTAAGTTGTACAAAGGAAGCTTATCATGGTTTTAGAGGCTGAAGTTCAAGATCCTGCCCTTTTGTTTTTTAATACTTGAAAAGTAAGATATATTTATTGACTAAGTAGATCTTCAATGAGTTTGGGTAGCAAGTAAAGAACATTTTTARCAAAGAGTATTCCACAAAGGGAAAWCTGCCCATACAAATTCAGTGACCAGGCCTGGGGGAAAGAAATCTGAGCTCAGATACCCACTCTGGTCATCCAGTGGTGGCTGCAATGATSAGCATTGGTAGGACTGTGCTCATGGTAGTCTTACAGTGTCCTCAGGTGTTTTGCAATAAGACTGGAAGAAAATATCTCTTGTGTTTTGGTAACAGGAATCCCTGTTCTATKCAAAATCAGATCCTGAGAAATGTGTTTGATGATTTGTGTCATTTTCTTGACAGCAACTTGATCTTGTTGACACAGAGGCAGCTTTTGTCAGGTCACTGCTGACGAGTTTTGGGAAGCACAGAGCAGGGTTCTTCTCTCCATGTCTTTCATGAGGTGCATTATGCTGTGCCTCCTGCAAAAGCGTTTACAGATGAAGCCTTGCTCGTACATCCTGTCTGGCTCTATAGGAACCATGCTGGCCCCATGTATGGCCACTAAACAAGAACTAGTCTGGAGTGGCCCACATTTCATCAGACTCCAAGCTATCTAGTTCCTGTTTCTCAAACTTCTTACTGTTCCAGTCTGTGTTTAAAAAGTTTAMTATTCCTGGAGAAGTAATTTTACCRTAGCCCAGAAGTTACTGCTGTTTAAGAAAAAAGGTACCTAAGATTAGTTTGGGAGRAGGTTTCTATTACATGACCTAATACAGAATGAAAGAAAACCATAAACGTTAATCTGAACTTCAATTTAATAAGTCCTAAGTGTTCATAGTCATTAATGTCTTTTATGGCACATATAAAGTCATATTTCTTCCAAGYTGCAACGYAAAAACTGTAATCTARTCACAGTTTTCTAGTTAAATCTGTTTAACTAAAGTMTGAATTAGAATCCAGTCAACATTTTTTTCTCTCTCTCTCTTAAGAAGCTGTTTCTGTTTCTGTTTCATTCTTTAGCCAGCAATGTTGAAGTGCTCATGTCTGGAAATGTTCGCTGCTACAATGTTATAGTGGAAATGATGAAGAGTTTYCCCAATAGTGAAACAGTTCAGGAAGTGAGTTGCTGTTTGTTGCACAAGCTTACATTGGGTAAGTTCACAAAGTTGTTTATAGTCAGCTTTGACTGTGTAAGAGTTGGAGTTAACTGGCAGCGTTAGAGGCAGCAACTGCTATTCCAGTTAATCCTTGGGATGGTGTGTAGATCCTTGTGTCTAAGGATGTGAACATACTGAGGTAACCCTGGCCACAGTCAGTATGGTGTCCTTATGTGTTAAATGTGAGTACCAATGAGAAGCTGCCATAAAAAAACTGAAGTTAGGGTGAAGTAATGAGACAAAAAATGGTGAGAAGCCCAATATGAGAATGGAAAATCAGTAGGTCCAATTCTGTACAAAGTTACTATAGAAAAGGAGAAAATTACTTAAAGGTTTCATTTTCTGAAGTGCTAGTGCGGAATGTGTGGGAATCARCTGGTGCTACAGAATTGGTTGAAAAGTATTCTGTAAAACTCTTTGCAATGCATTTATCTTCAGAGACCTGTGCTGCATTCCTGAAGGTAATGGTGCCAGTCTTGGGATCCTCCTGTGCTGCAGCAGTGAATGAACCGCTGGGTTCTGGAATTGCCTTGACTTGAGCAAAAGTGCTTTGGTTGTCTGGGCTAATATGGGTTGGTGCCAAGAGAACATCAAGAGAAGYTATGCCAGTGGCAAAAGTTGTGCCTCTTAGCAGCTCTGTTCTCACACTTGCAACTATAACAAACCCATTTGAGCTGTTGCCAAGAACCACGTAATAGGAAGTTCAAACGAAAACTGTTTTCCCCGTGCTGCATACAAACCCACTGTTAGCAGCTGCCTGAGCAGCCCTCACTCCCTGGCTGGTTCTTCTTCATCAAGAGTTACACTTCCCAATTTTTGCAGGTGGTGGCYTGAAGCATCTGCAGATGCTGGTACCAGTGCATGACTACCCGTAATCAAGTTGGTCCCATCCTTTCACCATCTATTTCCACTTCTTCATGCAGATATTACAGAGAGCACAGATCAGAGTTGAGTGTGACCCAGAGCAACTTCCCATTCCTCTTCAGAAAGCCAGATATTATTKTCAAGAAAATGTGGTGGCTGCTGAGGTGGAAGTTGCAGGTCTTTTTGGCAATAGATGATGCTACCCTTGACTGGTTTGCTGTGCAAGGCTAACTGAACATAGGCAGGGAAACCAAGCAGCTGGTGGGGACAATGCAACTTGGTTGACATGCCTTGATCTTGCCTAAAGTGCAACCAGCCTGGTTTCAATTAGGTGTTTGCCATGTGTTTATGCTGACCTACAGTGAAGAGTGGCTTTTCTGCCACTTTTCTTTGAGCYTCTCATCTTAATAAAGAGCCATTTTAGAGGTGTCCACAGCACCATACAGTTACGGAAACAGATGTGAAATTGCTAGGTGCTCCTAGAAATAATCTGGAAGATTTCCACTTATATAGTCAGTATTGCTTCCCAGATTATTTTGATGCACACTRTCTTCCTAAACCCATGTTAGCTGGCAGTGAAATGGTAAAGTCAGCATCTACTAGCTTCCAAAATCACCATCATGCATTCTTGCTAATCTGGTAAAGGCTATTTTAGACTAGATTGTCTTTGGAATTTTAACTGGCAGATACTTGTTTGGCCAGCCACAAGTCCAACAGAATTACTCATCATGTAGCCTAAGATTATTAATTTTTTTAGRTAAGTAATGCATTTACACAAATGTGCCTTTTCCATTAAAGTACATTAAGAAACAGCAATGCTGATCTAACATGACAATGCTACTGATCTTTCACATTGCTACTCTGATTCTCTTTTTTCTAATCAAGATTTAAACAAAATTGAATATCAAAATTTAAATTATAGCTATCAAACCATATTTGAGTGAGTGTTACTCTATTATTTCGTGCATGATATAGATTTTTATGACAAGCAAGGAGGTTATTTGAATTTGCTTGCTTTTTGGAGATTGCCTTATATTTAACCTATATTGTTGAATATTGTACAGTTTATAATAATTGTTATGCTTTAAATATGTTTGTCATCAAAAGGTAGTGCTTTCTTCTATTCTAGAAGGTATCTRTTCTATATTTATAATGTTGGCCTTGATCTGTTTAATGAGGAGGCCAAACCGGAGAGTAAACCAGGGTTAAATTACTTGTGTCACAGAATAAATCAAATCATTGCAGGAACTTAGGACCAGAACTGTGTTTGCTTCCTGGCAGKAAGTCTGCAAGTGATACACCAACTGTATTTTTCTTATTTTGATGACAGTGTGTGTTTCATTTTGCATTAAAACTCTGTTTTCTGTAAAAAAAAAAAAATTAAAAAAAGCCCACAGATAATGTAGATCATGTGGATCCCAAATGTTTTTTATCCTCTTCTTTCCACAAATAAAATGTTGTTGTGTCAAGCCCTGTAATAARAAAACCAATGTTTGCTACTAAGTTTGTGCATTGTGTGCTGAGAAATTTAAGTTAAATGTATGTAAAGCTCTAGATATGTRTTTATATTGATTTGATGTCTTGTCTGTTTTCAGGAAATTTTTTCAATATCCTTGTATTACATAAGGTTCCAGAAGTCATTGTGAAGGCTGTTACAACATATCCTGAAAATGCAAAGTTACAAGCTGCAGCTCTCAGTTGTTTAGCTCTTCTAAGTGAGTAAATCTCTATCTTCTTGTTAATTTTTTCTTTCTCGTAAATTCCTGTAATAATTTCAGACTCCATTTCTTTAACACAAAAGCCTCAGGCAGAACAGCTTCAACAAAGCTGGATGATTATTTTGCTGTTTCACTGTGATAAGGCTGTGTTCATATCATATGGCCAACATCTGCACAGTGTTCAGAGCTGGTAATTTATGTTGACAGATCTGAATAGAACAAACTTTATTCACAGATAAATATTGAATAATTCCTACTTAACATAAAGCATCCAGTGATAACAACGCTGATTGGATGTTGTATTTGCCAGGTATGAGAGCACTCGTATTGTGGCAGTTCACAGCAACACAAAATCAATGCAAGTACTTGAGTTCTGAAATCAATTAAAAATTTTAAACTTTTCTTTGACTGCAGTTCAGACAGAAATCAGTTTGCTAGTGGCAAAAAGCTAAGAATATGACCTTCTTTGTCTTTGAGGAATTGTTCCATATAAAAGTCAGTAGAAATGCTGTTCAAGAGTGCCCAAAATAGCAAAGATTAGAAATCAGTACATATTCCATTTTGCCTCAGATATTATCCTCAGTGTTAGTATCTTTTTTTCCCCCTTAATTGCTGAAAAATCAACAGGTAAAAAATTGCATATTTCAAATTCTGTTGCACTTTCTGGGACCAGATATTTCTCTCTTAGCAACTGCAATTTGCATTTTGTTTTTTAATGACATCGCTTCAGAGTGTAGATGGCTCTGTAATAAGTGGTTCCATGCAAATGATTTACGGTTATAGTTTATGTCTGTGGTATTTTGTGTGTAAATGCACAACAAAAAGAGGTACATGCAGGTCTTTTCAGAGCCAAAACCTAAACTGATCTGTATCTATGTGACTCATTTACTACACTAAACTTCAGTTTTTTTACTTCCTTTATATCCTTGAAGATATTTTTCAAATCAGTCTTAGAATATATGTCAAAAGACTTCTCCCTTCTCTGAAAAGACTTATCTTCYGACTGAGTTTCACACATCACCAGTGTGAGTGCCTCCATGACTACAGAAAAGTTAAGATATAGGTGTTTTCTTTTCACGGTAGGAATTTATTGTAAATATTTTATATTTCAAGCTGAAACAATATTCTTAAACCGGGACTTAGAGGAAAGAAAAGAAGAAGAGGAAGAAAAATTATGCTGGTTGGAAGCATGTTACAGAGCATTAGAACTGCACCGAAAAAATACAGATGTGCTGGTGAGAATTTCTGGATGATGGAAATACAGAAAAACTGTATAATGTATTAAATAAAATGTTTAGCAACATGCTTTTCTCATATATAACCTCAGACAAAAAAAAGGCCTTAAGKTCTGGATTAGATTTAGAGTAAACCTTGCCTTTCTTATCTTTGTTCATCTCAAGAGGTTTTAATTACTTCTTTGGATCCAGTGTAGGTAGTTAAGGTGAGGCTTCTTATCTGAAACTTGGGCCATTCAAAGATTGTTGTTTACATACATCCTCTGTATCCAACAGCCAAACAAAGGCCCATCAGTAGAAGAATTAATCTTGCCCTAAAACAGATACCAAAATGTAAAGCAAATAATGAGACTGTCACATGTTTGTGACTCGGGCCTATCCYAGACAGTGTACATTTTGTTCTATTTCTACATAAAGCACCTTGTGCCTCTTTTTTGGACTGAAAAGCAGTCAAAATATTGAAGTTTTTCATATACTTTTAATCTTCTAAAGGTTTATTTTCTTAATCTTATTGTCTTGGTTTATATTTAGGAGGCTGCGTGCTGGGCTTTGAAAAATCTGTTTCTGTATCAACGCAACCTTCATGAGAAGATTGGAGATGGAGATAATCAGTCAGTGTTATCTTAAACTGGATTTTTGGAAATGRAAAAAATGAGTGCCTATTATTAGGCCATTTGACATTTTGTTTTTCAATTATTTTTAGTTTTATAATACAATATGAAATGCATTATGATTGCATTATGGGAAAATTTCTTCGTAAGTGTGCTAACCTTGACTCAGGAAAATTTGCTAGTATTTTAATAAAGGGTCAAAACACAGCCTGCTAGAACTAATTTTTACAGTTCATAAGGGATTTTGTTTTTAGTTGCAACAAAATCAAAAATGCAAGAATTGGGAATACAGACAAATTAAGATATYTAGCATGTAAGGAGTATGGAAAAGCAGTGCTCATTTTCCCACAGATAATATGAAAAGGCCTTGTAGAGAGGATGGTGCCTCACTGGGGAGAATCTAGTGATATGACACAAATTTCCATTTTGCTGAAGCTATTTTTCAGAGTTCCTTAAAATTTTAGTCACTCAATTTTTGTAAACCTGTTTGTACTACTTTCTAGACCTCAGGTCACTTGGAAAGCATGGTTCCAAGGGAATTCAGTGAGATTCAGACTAGACAAAGTTGCATAGGTTACAAATGGTTTTCTGTCAGCTGTTGCTCTGGAAACATTAGAAACCAAGAGCAATCATATGAAATTTTCATTACATAATACCTTTTTATGAAACTGAACTGCAATTATGAAGGAACTACTGTAATACAGTCAATGTGCAGTGATTTGTTTCTCTCTGCAAGGTTCCCAATAGACAGAGCAGTGATGCTCTCCATGCTGATGCACTCCTCTTCAAAAGAAGTGTTTCAGGCAGCTGCTAGTACCTTGGCAATTTTGTCACAACAAAATGGTAAGGGACTTCAATTATCTTTACTTTCCCATTCAGCAGAAATTTATTTAAAACGTATAAAAGAGAATTCGGTGTACTGTTGAATGAATACAATAACTCCCTGTGATTCGAATATTATTCTGTTGTGATAAGTAGGAAGTTCATTCCTTACTTTGAGAAAGTTGGCTAGTATCAAAAAATATGTGGAAATAAAGAGCTCTCTGCCAGTTTATGTGTTGCAATTGCTACTTTTTGGAGCAGGAGACATGAAAAGAGTGTGCTCTCTTTGTGTGCTTGTTTAAATATTTATMACGTGTTTGAATTTCGTCAAGAGCGGCATTAGTTGAAAAATCACRTGAGTAATGAATACAGCCCAGCAAATACCACTTTCTTGCTTAACACAGATTAGAGCAGTCGTGTTGACTTCAGTGGATCAAATTGTGTAGAAACTTAAGCATGTGCATGACAGTTTTCAAGATTGCTTTACTCCTGATCATGTCCCTAACATGGTTTCCTAACTTTTTTCAATTTGCAGACCCCCTCAAAATTTTTCAGTGGAGATGTGGACCCCTGAGTAGAGTATTTAAGCCTACTGACAATTGGCCTGCTTTTATTAGATAACTTTCACAGAATCCTTTGAAATTGTTATGGACCTCAAGTGGTTTGCAGACTGCACATTGAAAACCACTGGCTAGATAGGAAGAAAAGCCTAGCAGTTAATTACCATTCTCTAGGTGAGAAAGCATTGTTTTATCACCAGTTTATTGAGCCATCCAAGTACATAAAACCTAACAGAGAAAAGGTTTTATAATTATTTATGAGATCAATATGTATCTATACTGAGAAACAGATCTCATAAATGTATGCATACTATTGTCATATACTAGGTAGTTTTGTAACATGTTACTGACAAGTGGCTTCTGATTCCTTTTGGAAATCTAAAGCAAGTTTTTCTTCTTTTTTTAAATCCCCCGCCCCCCATAAATGAATGTGTTTGCAGCAGAAATGATAGACATAAAGAAGCTTAGTAAATCCTTCTGGCACAATGCAATACTGCTTGAACTAGCCATCTGAGATGGATGTACTGAACTGAGAATTACAAGGGTTGTCGTATTACTGTGATAATTTTTGTAGTGTTCTGACTTGTGTTAGTTACAGTTATAACTACAACACATGTTTGCATATTTGAATTCACAAAAAAACAAATTAACGAAGTAAATAGAATGAATAAATGTAATTTCATTTTTGTAGTTTCATTTTGGAAGTAAGAGTTTTTTTAAAGTTTTAGGTTCTAGCTTTCCTACATGGTCACAGAGTGCAATTACAAGGAAAAGGTTTATTCTTTGTTTTTGAAAATACAAGTAAGGCTATATGTTCTCCTTCCCATATGTTAACTTTACATAAGTAGAAGTAGCAGATGTATRGAAACTTACTAGACAGTCAGAAATTATAATGTGTTTGATTAAGCTATGCAAACAGAAGTCAGCTTCAGATCAAATTRTTTCCCATTCAGATTTGTACTATTATGTCTATGTGGTGAGGTGAAGACATTGGAAAAAAGAAAGGAGAAGGGAAAAAAAAGTTGTTTTTGAGAACTATACAGAAAGGAAGATTTACTTACAGGATGCTTGCTATTTTGTGTTGTAGTAAATATTAGGAAGACACTTTTGACAAAAGGCATACATATGAATGTTTTGGATATAATGAGGAAACATCCACATTCTCCTGAAGTGGTTGAAAGTGCCTGCCGGATTCTGAATCATGTTTTCGAAGGAAGGTAATACAATTAGAAATGCATGTTCACTTCCAAGGTGAAGGGTTGTGAGATTCTGTGCTGTAAGTGATAACATTTAAATTGACTGATAGTAAAATTGACCACAGATTGACAGCCCTGTTTAAGACATGGAATTTTGTAAGACCCTTAATCAAATGGCAAGGTGGTGTGTGTAGGTGTAGTCATGGCTCTTRAGCAGAGAGATTTGAATAGACAATTGCTGGGTAATAAACAGGATGGTCTCCCCACCTGTTAGCCACACTGAATTCCATTGAGAGACAAGAAATTTCCCACAAAATTACCTCTGATTATTAAAATAGCGTTTTGTTAATATTRCTTTTGTATTAACTAGGATGGAATTATTTACATAGACTGAATTAATGGAATGGCATGAAAATAATTTGCTATGATGAAGATAAGTACCACAGTTTCATTTATGTTTCAGATTTACAGTGTTCTAAAGGGTTATCACACAGTGTTAATTAAGGAAGCAAATATATATCAAATTTAGAAAAGCTTTATTTCTTATTTATTTAATAAACAATATTTTCAGTTTCCCTCATCTGGATGTGATGACAGTTGCAGTATCAGAAGTTGTAAAAGCCATGAGAAAACATGAAAAATCACTCTCTGTACAACTGGAAGCACTTCGAGTCCTTTTACACTTCATGATGCCTGGTAAGTTATCCAAAATCATACGCCAAATCAGAGAACAGAATCAGATAGCTGCATTTTAATTTTTCTTATCTAATGAGACAGCCTTTAATGAGACTGCAAAAAATTATTGAAGTTCTGAACATAGCAGAGAACAGCTGTMAGTCTTTAGGATCATAAAATATGGGAGAAAATATTTGAGATATTGAAGGTAACAGACCAGAATTATCACTGCTGATTTCCCCTTGATTTCATCAGTGAAGAGTTAGCTCCATTACTTCTAAGGAATTCAGGGAATGAGTGTGGAGCTATCACTGTGACTGTGGCTTTCATCATCAATCCCCTTTAAGTGAGAGCAAACCATATAATGAGCATTGTCGTTCCACGAAGTGAAGTTGGTTTGATAGTATGTCTTGGAAGGAACATAAAAACTTTATATCTAAAAATGTAAAATATACCATTATATACTACTGTCTATCAAAAAGGAGAAACCTTTCCAAAAAACCCATTTTTATTCTCAATCCAGAGAAGGAAATAGTGTTCTTTGTTAGTTTTATACCTTTAGTAGAATTTGAAAAAAAAGTTAACTCTTTTTATCAGTGTACAGCTATATATCGTGCTTTTTTCCTCTGATACTAAGTGAAAGAGTACAGATATGGGGTACTGATTTTTTTGGGGGGGAACAACTTTTTGCAAGTATTTCTCGGCAGTTTTAGTTGAACATTTACAAAACCAATAACTCTGAAAATGGTAACGTGGGCAATATGCAGACTGATTGCAGGTTTTCAGTTTCCTTCTATTATTTGAGTTATAATCCTAACACTTTCGTCCTTTCAAATGTACAGTTGGAGTAAGACTTGATTCATGTATTCTAACATGGAGACAAGGTGCTTTACTTGTCAATGTCCTGGAATTGAGGCCCTYCTAAAGTGTAATCAAACAAAGAGTGTGCCAAATGTATGTTGGAACTTGCAGGTTAATTAGGGAATAAAAAAATAATTCATGGGAAAAATAGTAATCACAACAAACATGAATGCTGACGTGATTTTGAAAGGATCTCTGAGTATTTTCTGTAGTGTCACTTGACCACAAGTGCCAAAAGCTACAAGAGAGGTAAATCTGAAAGACCTTCTTCTGTTTTTTTTATATGTGCTCACATTCCACTTAATGTCATCTGTGTGTAAAATTTGTCCTATGATGTGGTGCCAAGTGAGCAAGAACAAATAGTTTGTAGCTTCTCTATAGTGTCTCCTTACCAGAAGGAAGAGGCATTCTGAAGTGGGTATCAGGAACACCAGGAAACTCCATAGCTCAAAAAAGTAATATATTGCAATGTACTTTAGAACAAATTCTTTGGCACGATTTTGTATTTTCAGGGTAAGCAGTGAGCAAATACGTGGTGAAATTTTCCTTTCAAGCACAATGTACTCACATCACAATGTAAACCTGGAGAGACTCCAGTCTGTGCAATACAGTGTTCTGAAAAGATCACAAGATCTGAAATACGCTGAGTCACCTCAGTGTTCATTTKATTGTTAGATTGGATTGTCGGGTTAACAGTGGGGAGAATATGGATTCTGCTGTTCTGAGGAAGGTTGTTTTCTGTTGTTGCAGATACAAAGAATGGACACCAAAATGGTTCTTCCAGAGATGTGGGAGATGCTGCTTTTGCACTTACTGTAAAAGTCATTAAAAGCCAGTGTCTGTTAGAGGGAACTCACTCATTGGTGCTTAACGCTTTAAACAGGGTATGGTTAAAGCTTTATTCTGACATATTTTGTCATTATTTTACACTTGCAACGGTGAATCYTTTGTAAATTTTAGTTCTACACTGATTTTCCTATTGATTTGATGGAATTAATCTTAACTCAGGAGCTTTATTAATCTTTTAGGGTTTCTTCTTACTTTCTTTTCTGAAGTGTATTAGATGATTCTTTATACAGTAACTCCAAAGGATATTTATTTTTAAAAAGCTGATTTTTTTTTTCAAGGATACAGTTTATTTGTGATTTCTTYTTTTTTTTTWAAAGGCTAGTGAAACGTGTCCTCATGCCTACACCACAGCTATGCATAGAACTGAGTGGACAACTCAGTTGTCTCCATTATTTTCACTGTTCGACTTTTTTCAGCCCCTGTAAAACAGAAATGATCACAGTGTCTTTAAGGAAGCTAAAAAATGAAAGGCTGAAGCAGACTCAGTCTATGTAAAGGAAACACTGGGAACTTCACACAGCAAATTAACCTTAAATCCTAGTGGTCTGGAAGGTTTAACTTCATGGCCTTCTGAAGAATCCAGTCTCTATGAGGTTTTCAAGGTTCACATGATCACAGTCAAAATGTAGCAATTAGTTATTTTTTAGAAGTCTCTCTCGGGAATTTTAAGCTTGCCAATCAGATTCAGTCAAGGAAATGTATGTCTCTTACATTTATTACAGAAGTCAGAGCAAGTACCAGTAAATAGTTCTAGAGTGTCTAAAGGACATCTTGACTGAAAGTATCAGATGTAGGGGTTAACAAAGGAGATAAAATAATTTTGGCTTCAGAAGTTCTTCAGTGTTTTGTGATCATTGTGACTGCATTTTCAAACACAGCTGGTTTGTGGTTTGGGGCACTACAGTATCAGCCAGAAGGGCTAGAAATCGTGMCATTTAATTAAAAATTAGATACAGAATAAGGAGGAAGGTGGGCATGACTCCACTGAAATAATTTTGCAGATTTGCAAGTCACTGTGGTGGCTGTGACACTCTCAGATCTAGGCCTCCTCTAGGTTCCTTCCATCTAAAAGGGGGAGAAAATTGGGAAAAAACCATCACAAATAACATATTGAATTTCTAGAAGACTGAACAAAGGTTTTAAAGTCTTGATGAGGTGTGGTGAGATAAGTATGTTGCTTCATATCTTTTTCTTTTTATATTTTTTCAGTTGCCGGCATGTTCATTGTTCCAGTTCTCAAAAAAAAAAAAAAAAATCAAACCACCACAATTTTTTTCCTTTTTAACCACAAAGGAAGTACATTTTCTCCCTCTGCTTGACCTAGAAAAAGGCTGTAAGCTTATCAATGAGAATTTGAGAGTAAAAAATCCCATTCTTTATCAGAAAAGTAGCTAGAGAATATTTTCAGAATCAAAAGTGAAAACCTGGGGAAGTTATAAGCAGCTGAAACTGATGATTGATAAGGAAATCTTTTTGAAATTGTGATTGTTGTTCCATATTGTCACATCAGCTGTAATTTCACATACTGAAGAACAACATTCACTTGTTACAGAACAGCTTTAAGAACAAGCAGCTCTTCTGTTGCCATTATGAGCAGAACAATCTTGATCTAATTTTATCTTCCTTTCTCCATTAGTTTATTGGAAATCCTAGCATTCAGAAGTGTGGATTAAAACTACTTGGTTCTGTAGCTGAGTGCACTGGTGCACTAGAAATTTTAACCCAGCAAGGAGCTACTGACACTGTGCTTCACACCCTCCAGATGTATCCAGATGAACAAGGTAGGGAAGGTGTTTTAGGGTCTGTAACAGATCAGTTGCTCTCTGTGGTGCTGGATGTGATGTAGATTGCTTGGCAAGAAAAGTCTGCAGTCCTGCATTGTCCTCAGATTCACCTATGTTGTAGTTATGCCTGGCCCTGTAATAGCTTGTACAAATAACTTTCTGGAATGTTACTAAAAGATTACTTAAATCATGGTTTTTTTCCACGCAGAATGTCTGAATTATCAGCACCTGAATAATATTTATTTTTCTTCTAGACATACAGTGTTTGGGTTTGAGTCTTCTACGCTCTTTGATTACAAGAAAGGGTTTGTGTATTGCAACTATGCATGTCCTGTCAGCAGTTCTGGTTTCTACTCTGCGACGATTTAAAGAAGTCACTGAAATCCAGATGCATGTATGTGTCATTTCCCTGTACAAAGATGAAAACAAAACTCAAAACCTTAGAAAATTATTTTAATATAGTTATATTTGAAGTATAAATCSTTATTTTACTTCATTTTGATTTTATTGAAATTATTAAATGAGTATAAACCTTTGTAATTAAATTGAGACATCTAGAGATGATTTTCTTGGAGGCATATATTCAATCCAGAGTATGTAAGCATGGGTTAAATGTTTATCTATAACTTGTGAGATYTGCGAAATTGAGCTAATTTCTCAGTCATGATCCATTCTTCTGTCAATCTGTAACCATTTCATGAAGTAACCATYGTTACAGCATTTACTGCCCTTCTTTGAGAAGTCACAGAAGATAACTTAGTTCCCAGCCTTGTTGCCAGGAATAAACTTAGTGTAAGAATGMTGTATTTAAGAAAGGATATTCCTGGAATACTGTCAGACTTTGGACCCATATCTTGTATGGAGGAGAGTTCTTTGTCTATAAACACACATTTAGGCCTTGTGTGAAAGTTCTGTTTCCTCTGATTCATAAGTTTTCCTTGTTAGTTACCAGTTTCATTTTTCTAGCAGAATAGAGCTTGCTTTTGACATTAGCTTTCTGTGAGAAAAGAATATTCTTCTATATATTTCTATATTTCTCTTTCAGATGAGTATGAAAATTAACACACATCCAGCCTCCCTTCTTTGCTGCTGTTTTCCCCCCGCCTTTCTACATTTAGCTTAGCAACCAATATAGAGAGAAATAAAAATAATGTGCTGGAATAAGGAAGTCACTTTAAGTGGTTTAGTTTCAATTAGGTTTGGACAAAGAGTCCATAATTTACCCAGTTCACCCTTCTAGGTGAACTTTACTTGAAGAATCGTAAGGTAATTTTGTATTTCTTCTTAGTTTTTAGATACATCTGGTAATTTTTCATTTAGCCTATGTGTTCTGTTCAAATTCAGGGATTACAGAGCAGCACACTRGAACAGGAAATGTATCTTCATTCCATATACTTAGAAGGAGATTGTTTCCTCTTTACTCGTTTGGGAAATCACAAGTACATTTGTCACTGCCAGGCAGGGTGTTGTCAGATGTTATGGTGCATATTTGGCTTTTCAAAGTGTCAGTTAATATCTGATTAAGTGGGTCAGCTAAACAAGCATGAAACTACACCTATATAAGCACAGAGACACCTGTATTTTTGCCTTCTCTATTTGTGAACCATTGCATGTTTAAAAGTAAGGCAAAAAAATTAAAGCATGAATCTTTTGGTTGAAATTTGATTTTGCTGCATGACCTGTTTAAAAGTGATGCTTTTTAACACTACTTCTTTCAATGTGTTCATTGTGTTTTCAGGGATTTCATGCCATCTTGACYATTCTTGGTTTGTCACCTTGCTTTGCAAAGCTGCTGGTAAATGAATCATTTGACACAGTCATTTTCTACCAGATGTCTATGTGTTTCACTGACCAGCGAGATCAACAGGTATCTTCTTTCTTTAACAATACCATAGCTGAAAAATGGTGGTGATTTTTTTTTTTGTCCTAACTTCTATTGTTTGCCTTCTCTTTCAGTTTCAAAGCCTGTGTTGTAAATGTTTTGCTAAAATAGCTGAAAATGATGATTTAAAAAATATGATGCTGGAAAAGGCATGTATGGAGTACAATAGTATTATGGCTGAATGTTTACTTCTGCTGGGAGCTGATATTAATAAGAAGACAAAGACAAACTCTTTGATCTACCAGGTAATACATGGAAATATTCATATAATTTTATTGCTTAAAAAATTATGCTTTTGGGTTACTATCTATTGTCATGTAAATATTTATTTGGCAGAACACATAGAATTGAAAGGCTGCTCCCACATGCCCTCAAGTACTTCTTGCTAAATGTGGTTACCTTTAATTTTTTTTTTTTATGAAATGATGCACAGAAGCACTTCTTTATTTTGGTTTAGTGTCAAAGTTTTAAACAGTTTGAGAGGACCCTACCAATAGTCCCTGAAGGGAATTAGGAAGTGTTCAATTCTGCACCAGGTCTGGGTGCTGAAGCACAGCTGGGTTTGGAAYCAGCCATCCAGTGTGAGGTGGGCAAATCAATGTTAGCAAACCATAGTGGGCATATTGAAGTAACTGGAAGTATTTCTAGAAAGTATTTTTAGTATTTACAATCAACACTGGTCTGTGTACCAATGTGGGCTTGGAGACTGGGAGGAGCYGACTGAATCATAGAAATATTAAGGTTGGAAAAGACCTCCATAACAGTCAAGTCCAAACTTTGTCTGAACACCACCTTGTCAACCAAGCCATAGCACTAAGTGCCACATCTAGTTATTTCTTGAACACTTCCAGGGAGGGTGACTCCACCACTTCCCTGGACAGCCTGTGCCAATGCTTAACCACTGTATCAGTGAAGAAATTCTTCGTGATGTCCAACCTGACCCTCCCCTGGAGCAACTTGAAGCCATTTCCTCTTCTGTCAMTGGTTGCCTGGGAGAAGTGGCCAATCTCCACCTGGCTACACCCTCCTTTCATGTAGTTAAAGCCAGTAGACCTGAGCTTGCCATCATTAGGCAAGGCTTGATGAGACTYACTGTTGATGCGTGTTCATTAAATATCCAGGTGATATGGCAGAATAACCCCTAAGGGTCTATTTTCCACTAAACAGATAAATAAATGCAGTTGCCATAGACCYCATACAATAACCAAACTAGATAAATCACTATTCATTTCTGTGTGAAAATTGTGTGCATTTATGACAAAAATTACAATTGCAGAACTCAAGCATTTACTACATTTTGGGCAAAGTCTTCATGAAAATGGGAGTTGGTTCTCAGACACCTTAGGCAGACATATGCTCCAAAGAGTAAGGARTTGCATAATTGAGAAAGAGACAAATTCTTAAAATAAAGTCAGTCTGGATTTGAGACAAGCCTCTTAATGCAGCCTGTGCTGTTCTTGAATGCTTCACATTCTTGGTTTGTTTTACTTTCTTTTCTCTATTAGGTTTGTGAGAAAGGAAATAATCCTAAATTGGTGGAATTGCTRTTAGCCAATGGTGCTCGGGAGCAGGATGTCCGAAGTGCTTTGACCATCAGTATAAAGAGGGGAGACAGCCAAATCATCAGCCTGCTCTTAAAGAAGCTTAGCCTTGATGTCACCAACAGCAGTATATGTCTTGGAGGATTTGGTTTTGGCAGACTAGAACCTTCCTGGCTCATTCCTTTGTTCCCAGATAAACTTACTCAAACAAGAAAACCAAGTGAGTATATATAGAAATTGCTATACAAAATGTTTCAATATCTTTCGATGGTAGTATGAAAGTGTTTTAGATTAAGACTTTCAGTTGAGGATCTCTACATAGCATTCAGCTGGCTATAGAAAGTTTGGCAAAACTTGAAAATAAATCAAGTAATTTCTGCTCTTTTTTTTAAGCTATTTTGATTTCTTGGAGATTATTTTGTCTTTTGCATTTCTTGTCCYTACAGATGCAGGTTCTGCACTGGCAAGGATGGTGCTCAAATTCCAAATGAAGAATATTTCAGAGGACAGATCAAGAACCTCCTCTGATCTAAACTTCTCTGAAGATGGAGTGGATAGAAATGATGATTGGAATTTCATACCTGACCCATTAGTGGACAGTGTTTTTCCTTTGAATGATGATATTGATAGTGAAGGTAATTAGTTATTTTTTCTTTTTTGCTCTTTATAATCCAAATTTAATGTACTAGGGCTAGACTATAGGTATAAACTAAAAAATTTACTTGTATTTGAGATATAACACTTCCCATGAAGAAAAAAACTTCTACTTAAAATTTTGTTTGGGGTAACATTGGGAAATAGTTCATGGTGCGTATGTGCTTCATCTAGAAAACTATGACCTTGAAGAATTTTATTCAGTTACACATCTAAAAGTAGTTCATAGTGCATTCAGCTTTTTGTAGAGAGAAAGTGGGATTCATGCAATCAAATTTAGATTTTGACTGTCTTCCTGTCTGTTTCTGAGCTTCCTTCCATAKGCTATGACAGAAAGCAAGAGCTTAAAGAGCCAAACATGTCTCATCATGAAGTCAGGTGTATTTTGATCTAGAAACCGCTTTGTTCTATGGGTTGTCTGTAAATGAAGTTCATACAACCAGATCTGGTATAAAAAAACCATGTTATTAACAAATAAAGTAGGTGAAACAAGCCCTATCCCAAAGAACTGATTGATCAGGACATGTAAATGACAGGTTTATGTTCAGCCCACCATCATTSCTTGTGGCCAGGACATCTAAATACCTTTAACTTATAGAAGGACAGCATTTCTGTCTGTAATAACCGCAGCTTAAGAATAAGTAGCTTTAATTTGTAACATACCTTTGTTGTTGAAAGGTTTCTCTTGTTTTAGAGCAGTTGGTTACTTAAAATCATCACAGAGGAAGAATTTGAATTTTGGAATCAGAAAATCCTAAGGAAGTTTTTGGTTCTGTTTTGTTTTTTTCAGTTTATCAATCAGCACCACTTTTCATTTCTGTAGGTCTATTTATTGTCCMATGTGGAAAAGTTGTCATCATAAAAAAATGTGGGAGCAATTTTAGGAGTTCTGAAAGTAGCTTTGAGAAGAGGGACATCAAATGTCTCCAGAAAATGACACCAAATGTCTCCTGAATCACCAAATTCAGAGTGGCATTAGATGTTTCATTCTCAATAAATGTGCRAGTGCAAATTTATCTATTGAAATACAACTCTTTTCTATTTTATAAAGTTATTTACACTGAAGTAGCAGAAAGATGTGTTATGAAATAGATATAATAATCCAAACCCAATGGAAATTTTAAATCATAAATCATCAGTGGAGGTCCTGCAATCACCTGCAGGTCCTACTTGAAGAATGTCAGGTTACTATGGCCCGTATGCTCTAAAACACACTGATAACATTCTTGGCCTATTWCACACATAACTGACCAGTGAGATCCTGCCAGTATTGGTGCTTTCAAAATTCATCTCTCCTTTGCATCTGTATTACAGTTGAATTCTGASCCTCATCTTTAAATACATTTTCTTACCTATTTCTCCTCCTGTGTTCAAGGAAGTGAAGGTTCACTCTTTACAAAAAAGAAGTCCAACTCCATTGCAGTTGCTGATTTATATTACAGAGAAATGGCAAGTCARAGAAGTTCTCCCACTTTGCCACGACATTCCTACTCTGTGGTAAGTCAGATCCTTKCTCATTCCAGGCTTTAAAGTCCATCTGCATTGCCTACTGCAAAATTTTAATAACCAGTTGTTAGGAAAGGTCATGTAACCATATGGGCTTTGTCTCACTGTTTCCATTCAGCATTTCTTTCTCTTGTGGTACACTTTACAGATGAGTTTGTGTCAGTAAAAATTTATGATCACTAAAAAGTAGACACTCTTTTAATTTGTTCAAACTTCCASTCTGGTGTTCAAATGGAAATACAGGGATTATGGGCCCATTCACAGAGACTTAACTTYCCCTTAGTGAAGCTGATCTTCAGCAACAATCAGTGGAGAGACACTGATTCCCTAAGAAGACAAAAGAGGACAAATKGGTGGAATTGAAGTCAAGTTCCTTTGAAGGGAGCATATCTCTTTCGTTGACTATAAAGGAAAACTGGAGAGACTGCCTTTCCTTGAGAAAATTATGTTCTGTAATATTCTGCTGCATCCTATTACTCCACCCTAGTGAAAGTCATTCTAGATTGCCAAAAATCCACTATTTCCATTACACTTTACGTCTTTCATATTGCATGGAACAATATGTTTCATATAGATATGACCTATTGACCTATTTTGAGTTCATACCATTTCTTTGTGCTCTCCCTATGAGCTCTGATAAAAAGAAACCACAGTAAAAAGAGATTGACTGAATTTGGATCCTTTCAGAACATGCACATRTTCCTGAATGGTTTTTCTGTTGGATTTTGCAGGGACCTGGCTCAGATTATGAACCATTAATGAAACAAAGACGAAAATTCTTGCTCTCAGATGAACCTCYGAGTAAGTAAAATACACAATTTTAGGTATATAACAGATTTTTCATCCTTARTGCTTTCACAAGCACAGCATGCAAAGATTTCAAACAGATTACCCATTTGTTTAAGAGGAGGATACATTTTGGAAATACTGCAGTGAAGTACAAATAATGCATGTATAGGGAGTTTTATCTTCTGGACTCCACAAATAATTTATGTAGGCAACGGAATTTCATGAATACCCTTATAAGCTTTCAAAATTTCCTTCTGTTATGCTGTGCGTAAGCATCCATTCCTTCCCCTTCCCTACTGTCTTATAAATTTCCATGTCTTAATAGAATTCTCTACAGATTTGTAACCAGTAGCCAAACATTCACTCTCTTCTGCGTCTTTAGATCCCAAACTGATTGATTGTAATTTTATCTAAGTGATAAATTAAATCATTATATTTTCACTTTTTTGTTTTAATAGAAGGCATCTCAAAATTGTCATCACATATAAGACCATCAGACAGTCTTTCTTCATTGATCTCAGACAAAGAATATATTAAATCACTAGACCTGTCATCAAATGAGCTGGAGAATATTGATGCCATCAGCCAGAATAGCTGCTTAACTTGTCATCTGGAACACCTTGAGAAACTGGAGCTCCACCAGAATGCTCTTACAAACATTCCACAACAACTGTGTGAAGTAATTCTGCMTAATTTTATGTAATACATGTTGAAATTAGTTAAAATAAATTGTTTCTCTCTAATAATGTAATCCATATGTATTATAATAATTTATCCATAACAATATTACTCAAGATTATGGGTGTATATTTTTGCATGCTTCATACATTCACTCAGTTTTCATTCAGTGGATTTATGTTCATAAGAAATAGAAGTGTTTTCATGGAATTGTTTTAAGTTGTTACTGCAGAGAAATGCTTTAAGGTGTGTGCTATTAAGTAGCATTGTAATGGAAATGGAACTAAGTATGCAATTAATATCTTAAATTGTAAGAAATGGAGCTAATTATTTTTGAATAAKGCCCTGTGCTTTATTTTGTGATGGAAATATTGCAAATTGTATTGATATGATTGCTATTTTCTGCTAGTTTTCTTTGTGAGCTAAATAGAAATAAATTAATAAATTGTATTACAATATAAATCAATTATAAACATATAAATTAATATTTTCCTTTAACCTTTWAAAAATGTATTTTTCTTTCAGAACTTGAAGTGCTTGACTTACTTGGATTTGCACAGTAACCGATTTACTTCCTTCCCAACTTACTTACTGAAAATGAATTGTATTGCAAATCTTGATATCTCTCGAAATGACATTGGACCTTCCTTTGCTTTGGATCCATGCCTCAGATGTCCAACTCTAAAGCACCTTAACCTTTCATACAATCAGCTGGTGTGCACTCCCGAATTTCTTACAAGTGTTGCTGAAAATCTGGAGCAGCTCTTGCTGGAAGGGTGAGTAGCATGAGTAAATGGCCTGTAGCATAAGAAATGTARTAAGAAATAATAGATTGGTCATGCAGAATGATGACTCATATAGCATGGATTGTTTAATCACAACTGAAACACTGACATTGTCTTCCAGATGTGTAAATTGCTACAATTTTCATTGTTGTATTGCAAAGTACAAGATTTGCAAATGTCTTTGGGCCTCGATAGAATCTGATAGCATTGCTGTTCCAGTAATATGCTAAATATGTTGTAGTTCAGTATCTCTCTGCTATCATACTGTTAATCCACAGGGTTGTGTAGTCTGATACTCAGTCAGGTTTTCTCTATAAACAATCCAGTTTGCATTGTATTTCATATGCCCAAAAGYTTTTCTGGAAGTAGTATTAATGGAATTTTAGGTATTGGTATGGATATGATTTAACTTACAGAAACATAGAATACATGTAGCTTTTTGTTTGCCGGCAATTATTGTCGTATTAGTGAGATAATTCATACCTGTATGGAATTCTTAAGAATGMTATTGGTGATAGCTCTGTAGAGCTCTCTGCAGAGACTGTCTCATTCGTTTCCTACAGTTCGTAGTTCATTCCCTATAGTTCATAATAARATGGTGAACTACAGTTAGTAATCCTACCCTGGCAAATCAGTGCTGCATGGATCTTTTATTCCTATATTTTCAGGTCTTTTGTTTTTCCCTCTTTCTGGTCTTCTTCTCCTAGAATAYATTGTTCATAAAGTTATATACTTATCTTGAATTGTATTCCATATATGGAATCCTCTTTAAAAAAAAAATTTAGGTTGATAATAATTCTTTAATTATGATCCTGCAAGCACGTATCTTTAGTACACATGACCCCTCACAAATGCAACAATCCTCTTTGCATGGGATGTAATCAGAAAATGTATGTAATCAGAAATCAGTATGTAATCAGAAAATTACACCTTGCAATACATTTTGACACTTACTCTCCAAATTAGTTAAACTGATCTTATTATCACTTATGTTATTTCATGTTGCCACATGTACTAGTGTTTTTGCTGACTGGTCAGTCTTTACATAGATAAAGCCTTCTTTTTGTTTTAGTGGCGTAAGGATGACATTGTCAGATCAACACTCTCACCTTTTACCTAATTGCTTCTAAATAAAACATGGATTATCTTTTTTCTTGTTGTTATTACAGAAACAAAATTTCATGTTTATGTTCACCCCTATGCTTGAAAGAACTGAAAATTTTAAACATTAGTAAGAATAATATTTCATCCCTTGCTGAGAATATCTTCATGGGCTGTACAAAACTGGAGCAGTTCAATGCCAGGATGAATGTTCTTGGTAAGTATCTGTGAAAATAGGATTCACCTTCTGGAAACTATTCCATGTCATAATATTCCTCTGCCACCAGCATTTGGAGTCTTGGGAGAAYGAAGAAGAGCAATACCACATGTATTTGTTTTTGTTTATACAGTTTCCTAAGCATCAGCTTTTGAGCACTGAAGGATRGAGTATGCTTCCAGTCATCTGATCTGACTCAGCTATGATCTTGTTTTTACATTTGTAGGGGATGCTGTAAAAATGACTGAATGTACTTGGGATTGTACATACTGTTGAGGGAGGTTTAAGGCAGAAGAAACAGTTCAGATTTAGCTTGCAAATCTAGTAATAATACAGGTTTAATACTGTACTGAAATACAGTACTGAAATTATGGATGCATCCTACCTTGTACCAGAAACAGTGTGGCCAGTAGKACCAGGGCAGTGATTGTCCCCCTGTACTCAGCACTGGTGAGGCCACACCTCAAATCCTGTGCTTACTTTTGGGCCCCTCACTAAAGGAAGGACATTGAGGGGCTGGAGTGAGTCCAGGGAAGGGCAGCAGAACAGGTGAAGGGTCTGGAGCACAAGTCCCATGAGGARCACCTGGGAGAGCTGGGGTTGTTAATCCTGGAGAAAAGGAGGCTCAGAGGGGACCTTAGCACTCTCACAACTGYCTGAAAGGAGGGTGTAGCCAGGTGGAGTCAGTCTCTTCTCTCAAAGAGAAGACAAGGCAATTGGGCAAGATAAAATGGCCTCAAGTTGTGCCTGAGGAGGTTTAGATTGGGTATTAGAGAAAATTTCTTCACTCAAAGGGATGTCAAGTACTAGAACAGGCTGCACCATCTCTGGAGATATTTAAAAGAYATGTGAATGTGGCCTTCAGGCCTTTTGYGGTGGACTCAGCAGTGCAGGATTAGCAGTTGTGCACTATGGCCTGAGAGGTCTTTCCCAACCTGAAAGATTCTACAATTAAGTATTTACCATAGGATTATCTTCAGAATAAGAGAGAATCTTTGGTTCAGTTGCCTGAATGCAGATGTCATTTGAGAGGCCCTGAATTATCCCCCTKGCCTTACAGCTTCTGGTCCAGAAAAAGCAGGTTTTCCTTAGCTCCTGTGTTTTATCTTTAAACCTTGTGGAGACAGCTCAGGTAGCACAGGGCAGATCCCCTTGTCTAGAACCCAGTGCTGAGGAGCTGAATTGAGTCCAYCCAGAGTGTGTGTCAGTGATGTAGCATATTGTACACTAAGGTATTAAAGTTACTGTATCTATGCAAATTACAAATTATATTAGTTAGATTTTCAATGATACTGGGAGAGTTAATAAGTTACTATTAGAATTTATTCTTCCTTCAAGACATAAAATCTTCCATTTTGAAATTATTGTCACGCTATTTCAGAAGGTAACTTGTAGAACTGCTTTAAACACAACTGAACCATTAGACTCATTTTTATGTGAATAAGACCCAACAAATCCTGGGTCACACGGGAATCTTATGTACACTGGCAGTACAGTAAAGTGTAAGTAATATTATTTTGGTGTTTAATGCCACTAGGAGATGAAGGATAACAATGTATAATTTGTTAAAAGATAATATATTACTTAATTTTGGGAGTTTAGTTTTAAATAAACTTTAAAAAATATATATTTGAATTCTGCCTTTGGTACCTTTTGTACAAAGGTACCAACCTTTGTACAAAAATGATAGTTTGACGTTTTAGTCTGTCTAAACTCCAGTAATTTAAACCATTCTTTAAAATAATATAGTTCATCTCTTTTCCTGCTCTAGAAAAAATACCTGACTTGTCATCCAGCATAACAAGTTTAAAATTATCCCAAAATTGTTTTATTGATGTTCCAGAARCAATTCTTCATCTACCACAGTAAGTTATTCTTTTGTTTATTGATGTTAATGTCAAGTTCTTGATAAAGAAAATCTGATGAYGAAATTGTTGTTGTTAAGCTGAAAATTCTGTATGTTTTGCTGATTTTCAGGGAATCCTCACTAAGAGTTCTGGTTAAATCCAGAATTTAGTAGCTTTTAACTGAAGACAAATTAGTCACATTTTCTTCATGATTTTGAGAAAATCTCTKTCTCAGATTCAAATCACTATTGTTGAAAATATAATACTTGGTGGTTTAAGCTGATAATTCTTGCCAAGAATACTAGAATTAATTAACAATTCCTTGAACAAAACAGTAAAAATATATTGGCAATTTTTCAGTTTTGAGTTCTGCAGACTTTTGCACAAGGCTATTGAGATTCGTTTTTCACTTCCCAAATAACTTAAAATATTTCATCTCAAAGAAAAGCACTTCCTCTAGAARGAATTGTGATAAAAATTCATGTGACATTTATTTTGCTATACCTTCAAAGCATTATACATGTGAAAATTCAATTTCTGCTTTTTTTGTAGAAGTTGCTGAACTTATCAGATCACTAGAATCAGATCACTAGAATGGAGAGAGTGCTTGAAAGGGATGATCCGATGGGTGTGGGGAGATGTGAGTGCTGATGGCACCATAGAGAGGGCAGATCCACATATTTRGGAACTTACATTAATGAAATTTGCATAGAGCATGTGATTATTAACATGATATTGCACAATTCAGCATGATAATATTCACAATAGCAGATTTAATGGATGTGTTGAAAATAGTGCAGTCTTCAGGTTCTACATCTCCCAGCTCAGCCAAATCAATAAGGTATCACATGCATTTTTGTGTGCTTCATGTTCCATATRACATAAACAGTGTATTTGTTCAAGAGGTGTAAGTGAACTATGTTATTTTTTCACATAGATGTATTTGCAAACATACCTGCTTCTATTGAGATTTCAGTCAGAAAACCATCTCTTCTGATAGCTAATCCACTTATTTATTAAAAACTAATACCRTTCCAGTTCCAGCTCATCTGGGTTTTATTTTGTCATTTACTAACTTCTCACTTTTTTTATTTATGTGTTTTTAGTTTGCGATCAGTAGATTTAAGCCAAAACAAGATCGTCARCCTGCCTGGACCGATGCACTGGAAGTCATCAAATTTACGGGAGCTGTTATTTAATCATAATCAAATAGATGTCTTGGATTTGAGTGAAAAGGCATGTACATGGTCTAGGCTAGAAAAGCTACACCTCTCCCACAACAAGTTAAAGGAGGTAAGATTGTACCTAAAGCAAATTAAATTGCTTTTCAATTGAATGCAATTTTCCAATGTTCATTTGATATTCATGTCACCTTTCATACCATTGTACATTGTATTAGTGAAATGAAATGTAAGTGCAAATAGTTTGTTCTGTGAATGAAAATCACTATATTCTATTCAGTTTCTCTGCCTGGAATGTGTCATTTAAGTTTGTATAATGAATTACTTACAAGGTCCATTTTTATTAGAGTGGGATATTAGGCCTGTTTATTTTAAAAAATGAACTACAGCACTAAAACTAGTACCTAATTTTATTAGATTGTTAATATATTAATGTTCTTTCTTTTAATATTTAATTCAATGTTTTTTACTTAGATTCCTCCTCAGATTGGCTTCCTAGAGAACTTGACYTCTCTGGATGTAAGTCATAATCCTGATTTGAGATTCTTTCCCGATGAAATGGGAAGACTGTCCAAAGTCTGGGATCTTCCWTTGGAAGGACTCCATCTTAATTTAGATTTCAAACATGTGGGATGCAAAGCCAGAGATATTATCAGGTTTGTTGCCCTTTTGTTCTTGATTGTTCCTGTTCTGCTTTCTTGGGACTTGCAGTAAGCATTGAGAAAATAATGTGGTGTTTTGAAAAGACACGCTGGTTTGTCATGTGAAATCCAGGATGGAAGGTTACAATATCCACACACACATGTAAAATAGACTAGAGTGGTTTAGACCATATTAGTATTACCTCTTGAATTTGGTGCTTCTATAAACTGTGCAATAAATGGTGCTTACCAATTATTTGTAACATGTTTCATGTAGTCCCAGTACACTTTGCGCAGAGCACAATTTTGCGATAATTGCAAAACAAAAAAAAACATTCTGAATTCAGCTTTAGCTTTCAAATCAGAAATTAGAGTAGGCAGTTAAAAAACAGTAGTATCAAACAGATACCAAAAATTTGAAGACAATTGTATGGTTCTATATTTTTCCTTGGTTTTGAATTCTGTTGGTATTTTTCTCTATTATACACTTCTGTGAGTATTTCAAACTTTTCTTTTAGATTTCTTCAACAGCGATTGAAGAAGGCTGTGCCTTATAACAGAATGAAGCTSATGATTGTTGGAAACACTGGCAGTGGCAAAACTACCTTGCTGCAACAACTAATGAAAAGCAAACGGATGGAATTGGGCTCTCCAAAAGCCACAGTAGGCATTGATGTAAAAGACTGGATCATTCAAGGGAAAGGCAAAATGAAGAAGGAGCTTGTATTAAATGTGTGGGACTTTGGAGGTATTTCATGAGTTTATTTTCCTTTGCTGTTGTCTTTTCTAGCATTGTAATGCATTATTTATTCTTAGAGTAAGCCTATAGTAATTTGAACTGGGGACAGTAGAATCACACAAACTTACAGCAAAAAAAAACTAAATTAGTGAATTCTGTTAATTACCAGCTATTCCCTCAAATTTAGTATAAAGCCTCAGAAATTTCTCATCACCTAATGTAGTCTGACCACTCATTTCAACTATAATACTTCAGAATAGTCATTTCAGCATAGTAAGAAACATCTTGTAATCACCAGAAGAATCTTCCATTCAGCTCTGTTTCTGCCTTTTATAGTCTGTGTCTCTCTGGGCTCTACAGTACCACAGGTTTGTAAGGTCACAGACCACAGAGCACTTAGGAGGAGTCTTTGAACCTTACGTTTTAGGAAAATGTTTTAAGTTTGGGCGACTACAGAAGCACTTCTAAAATCCAGGGCTATTTTAGACTATAGAAAGATTATTTTTAAACAGCAGTCTATCATTATTTAAATAGAGTCCAGCACAATGCATAAGCACAGTACAGCAGCATTCAAGCTGGATGTCCAGCTTTAGTTGTGATTTTAAGTGCGTAATTATGTGAACTTATTTTGAAGTTGCTGAAAGCATAGGGGAATGGGAAGCAAGAAGGTAAAAGGAAAGCAAGGAGTGAGGGAGAAATTCAGTGTTGGAGTTTTAAAAGAATCATGATCTTTTAAGTTGTCTTGTCAGTGACCGTGTTTATCCAGTTAAATCTTACACTTCTTGTTTTAAAACCATTTTATATGTTTCAATATTGCACTTCAGTCAATGACCTACCACAGGGTGCCTTCCTAAAACTCATAGTTATTATGGTTTCCTGACAATTTAGATAAATTGCTGCAAATATTCATTTCATTTGTGCATTAGTAGCCTGAATACAAGTGTTCTGTTGTCTTTTTGTGATCTGAAGATGTTTAGTCAAGRAAGTAGTAAACAATGGAAATTTTTGACCATTAGGACAAGAAGAGTTTTACAGTACCCATCCTCATTTTATGACCCAGAGGGCTTTATATCTTGCTGTTTATGATCTCAGCAAAGGACAAGCAGAGGTGGATGCTATGAAGCCATGGCTTTTTAACATCAAGGTAAGCCATACAGAATAGAATTCTTCTTTCCAGGGAGCTGTAGGTGGACAGCAAATTAGCCACAAATATTTATACAAAGGAAGAAGAAAAAATAAATTCTTCAGAAAATAAGARTAGTAATATTAAAAAAGAGCTGAAATATATCTTGTATTGGATATGAAAATACTTTTAGACAGACATAAAAAGGTATCATCAGCACCATTTTGGAATTAAAATGGTACAAAGTGGTGTGCAAAAGAATAGTTTGTATGTTCTGGCAATCTTTTGAATTGACTGATGAAAGTATGAAAGGAGTAGTATTAAAGAAATTATGAGTTAAACTTGCAGTTTTCTTTTATACCAGTGTAAATTTTTGGGGAATCAGAATTTGACTAATTTAAAACTGACTAGATACAGGTTTGGAAACATGCTATTAAATGTATGCTTAGTATCCTATTGTAAATAGGAATGATTCCAGAGCTATGATAAGGAACTAACCTGAGAATCTACCTGTTTGTATTTCATTTTTGCTAAGATTTTATCTCCACTTAAGGAGTCATTCCATGGTGAGCAAGGATTATTTGTCTTTTTTTTTTTGTAGGTTGCTGAGCAATACTGGCCTATACACTCACATAAAGCATTTGTTTACTGATCCTGTTAATGGAACTTGTTTTCTTCACTCTTTCCACCTTGTGTAGTGATATAGGAGATGGATTTGTAATCAGTATTAGTATTAAGGAAGATAATTTCTGATGAGTTCTCCTTTGCTATGCAGTACTTACTGGTGTTTCACTGCTACACTGTTCCAATGACAGCTGGCAAAGAACCATTTCTTTTGGCTTTTCCCTTGTATTGGATATTCTTAATGAAAAGCATCCCTCTACTTTACTGCCAATAGTGTTAATCTGCAAAGAGTGAAATATAGATACACACTCCTTTTTAGAAAAAAAGCTGGTTTCTTCATATTTCTGTTTAGATATAGACTTCTCTCCAAATGTTTGACTATATTGCTCACATTTTATGTAAATATAAAACACTAAAATAAGCATTCACTATGGAGTTAATCAACAGTGTGGATCTCACTAACAGGCTCGAGCTTCAACATCCCCTGTCATTCTTGTTGGCACTCATTTGGATGTTTCTGATGAAATGCAACGGAAGGCCTGCATGAGTAAAATCACYAGAGAGCTGTTGAACAAGCGAGGCTTCCCAGCAATCCAGGATTACCATTTTGTGAATGCTACAGAAGAATCTGATTCCATTATCAGACTTCGGAAAATCATCATAAAGGAGAGTCTTCACTTCAAGGTGAGCTACATACTGTTTATAACGTTGAAAACATCCTAGTTTTAGTTAAGTGAATAAATTTTTAAACATTAATACATAATTAAATTCATTTTTGTGTGATCGCAAAGTCATCTTGCCTTCTGTAAAATGTTATCCACAGCAAAATAATGAAGGAAAATTACCAAGTAGGTTTTAATTTGATTTTCTACTAAAAAAATCAAGTTAGAAAAAAATCCCAGCCTGTTGTCAGGTGCTAGGGCCATAAATCAAATATTTAATTTAAAATTAACCWTTTTTTTCTTATAAAGAAAGTTAATTAAAATCTTAGTTTGTTGTGTGGCATCATGTAATTACAGTAAGTATTGCAAGATTTCAGGAGACACAAAATACAATTTTGTGGTTTCTGAAAACCAACTGATTTCCCATTTACTGATTTAGTTTTACATAGCATGAAACTATTTCTATAAAGAGGAAAGTGAATTAAAGCAGGAAAATAAGATCCTGTGRACTGAGTGATCCTGCCAGATTTGAATATCTGCACTTACAATTCTGTTGTCTCCAAAGTCATCCCAACTCATTCCCTACTCTCTCCTTAGCCACAGCATGAAGCTCTAAGTGTAAATGAAGAGACCAGCCCAGGCATGGAATTTATAGAAAGACAGGATCCAATCTGTAACAAAAAGAATATACTTTTTTACTTTCATTTATATAATATCAGTCATATATAGTGATATATATAGTGTCATAACACATTAAAGAGAAAAGGTGAAGCCCTCTGCTACCTAAGCAATGGCAGAACTTATACCAGAACTCAAATTTCTTTAGAATTACTGCTTGGAAGAAACAGCAGTTTATCCACATCTAAARTCTCTCTAACTTCATTCCACAGTGCAAGGAACAGCAAAGCATTGCTAAATGCAAGGAAGTGGCCCCTCCAAGGAAAATGGGTTAATTCTACTTCTCATACGTCCAGTAGGCATGAATAGAACTGGTGTTTGMATAGCTGCTTTTTGAAAAATCTTGTTCCTTTAACATACACTTCCYTTAAGAATATGATTGAAACTGATGTTTATACTACTTCTACACAGATGTAAGGTGGCCTGAAGGAAATGAGATAATTACCATCAATTATGTAGGCAGTTTGTGAAAGGAATGTTACAAGGTATCTGCTTAGAGGTTAAATAAAGTGAGTTAAATATTCAGTGTTGTCATCCAGTGCTCTGAAGTCTTTGAAATTACACAGGGTATTAATTTCATCTGCACAAGGTACCAATTAGATTTTTGACACATAAAAATATAATAGTGCATCAGTGAGAGAAAGATTACAGCTTAGAAGCCAGTTTGTAAATATTGGGAAAGTTGTTTCCCATKTCCTCAAAAAAGTTAGTAGCTCAGCACCTGTGGAGAAAGAAAAACCTGACTGGATACTAGGATTGCCAAATATCAAAGGCTGTCTCCAGGAAGGAACTTGGGCTCAGGAAACAGGCACAATGCGTCCARCTGTTTCCCCTAAGTGTCACTAATGTGCCTAAATTTATTTCATTCTCTKCTCTTGTCCACTGACTGCCAGCAGTGGAGACTTGAATCAAGCTGCTACCCTATTCCCCCCAGTTTACCTAAAGACATGGCTACAGATATTACATATTACCAGAGGGATAGTTTTGTTTATTAATTTGTCCATTGTTTTGCGTTAACTGGAGATACATGATATCATCTGCTCATACATGAATATTTTCCTTTTACTTTGAAAAAAAGCTTCCCTTTGAAATAATGACTTCTGAGAAGACCTCATTTWTTATTTTTTATGTACAAGTAATATGGAAATATTTTCTTCTCTGAGTAATTATTTCTAAAAAGACATTATAATTCTGAATGAATAATTAGTTACATCTACCTTTCAGAAGCCATGTTAGTCAACAAAAGAATGTTCGTGTTCCTTCTTTCTTCTACTACTGAGTGGACATGTACATATCTTGTTTTATTTTCTTCATTTCACACAAATAAATTAATACAGTTGAGATTATTTTTCCTAATTTTACAGATCAGAGATCAACCAGTGGTTGGTCAGCTAATTCCTGACAGCTACCTGGAGCTGGAAAAGAGAATTTTGCTGGAACGTAAAAATGTCCCAGTGGAATTTCCTGTGATCGATCAGAAACGCTTACTGGAGCTGGTCCAAGAAAGCCAGTTACAATTGGATGAAAATGAACTCCCTCACGCGATTCACTTTCTGAATGAATCAGGTAAAATTCTCAATGTGTGTTTGTTAGCACTTTGTTGCAAATCTGCAGCTGACAGATCTGTCCACATTTTTGAGTCCTTTCCAAGGTTGCCACAAAATGATGAGCTGAAGTGTCTAAGCTGGGTAACATTCGTTTCTTAAACCACATTGTGAGGAAGGGAATTCCATGACATGAAGGATCACTACTGTAACAGTTTGTATCTCTTGCTATCTCTTACCTTGAGAACATTGTCCTTCTGGTTAGACAGTAAAGTTGCTGAAGAAAGATACAATTGCTCCAATAGCTCCAGTAGAATAATGGTGACAGGAGTACATGTAATGGCTTTTCTCAGTGCAGTACTGACTTCSTAAGATTAAATAATAAACCACACAGAGCTTAGCAAAAAAGTAAGTCAGATTTAAAATCYAACAAAAAGTCTGCAAATAAAGGTAAAGCTGAACAAACCTTGCTTGCATTCTACTGTTCTGAGATATTGACATAAAAATAGCTGTATTTATTATTCAAATTGTTTATGCCAAGTCACATAAGAAAAACAGCCCAGAGTAAAGTGCTTACTTTGCTTAATATTGAGCTTAAGCAGTGCATTGCTAATTTCAGTATTCTTTGTGCAGGTGTTCTCCTTCATTTTCAAGACCCAGCACTACAACTRAGAGATCTGTATTTTGTAGATCCAAAGTGGCTGTGTAAAATCATGGCACAGGTCAGACTGATTTCTTATTGTGTACATATGCATGGTAAATTTTCCCCTGTCTAAAGCCACTATCACTTACCAGTGTTTCTTCTTCACCATTTCTGCATCATTTCACGATCTAGAATTTTTTCAGAGCCCACTTTTTTTTTGATCTGGCTGTTTCCTATCTCTCTCTGGGCAACTGATTGCCTCCGTTGCTTCTCTGTTTTTACACTGTAATGTCCARTATAATTTAAAGTGTAACAGACACGAGAATACATGTAGAATAGAAAAMCCCTATGTATGCAAGGCAATCCTGCAATACAACCTGTTGCCACAGGTTGAGATGAAAGCTGGAACTTTGGGTTAAAGGCTGTAAGAAGTGGAGAAGTGCCATTGTATGCTTGGTAAGGTGGCAGTGGAAAGTGATTGGATATGGAGTTGGAATGGGACAGCAGCAGACTGACWGCTTAAGTGAGATCATCATTGAAACGTTGATCTAGAACGCTCTCAAAATTTATTATATATATTCAGATGTTCTAAACTCTGAGGCTTCACCTTTCCTTCAGTGCAGGAAATRGGTTAGAAAAATTGTAAGTCTTTAAAACTGATAGGATTAAGAGTGAGAAAAGTCCTAGAAGATCACAACACACAGTGAAAGAGCCACTGAAGAATGATAGCGCACGAGTGACTTGAACAGGCTACATTTTGTCACTGCTGACTTCATGCTGGCAGGCATTGTTTGGTTACACTGAAGGGGTGTCTGTTTCCCTCCCTCCTTCCCTTAAATATTAGGCTTTAACAAAATTTTCAGGGAACAAAGTTCATCAGGAAAAGGCAATCTAATGAYGAATGTATATCTGAAATTATTTTACTTTTTTTTAAAGATTCTGATGGTGAAAGTRGAAGGCTGTTCTAAATATCCTAAGGGAATTGTAAAGCGTTCAGATGTGGAAAAATTCCTGCTAAAGAAGAGCAAGTTTCCAAAGATCTATATGTCACAATACTTCAAGCTTCTAGAAAAGTTTCAGATTGCTTTGCCATTAGGAGAGGACCAGCTGCTAATCCCAAGCAGGTAAGCAAAGAGTTAAACACACAAATGGCAGCCACAGAAATAGGTCAAAATAGAAACCTCCTGTGAGGMTAACTAGTTTCACTGATCATCAGAGCACTTTGATACATGAAAGCATGATCTACTCTACTCTGTGTACTACATTTTAGTAAATGCTTTCAGAAGAGACATGTTAAACTGATCTTGTAGCAGATGTTGGATCAGCATGGTGGGTAAATGGAAACTAAAAATGATAAAATATTTTATGAGGATATTTCTTTTAAAGTTACTGTGCTTCAAGACTACAACAAGGAGATTATAGTTTAGCTTCACACAGCAGTGTGCCARCATTACAGATATTTACTGCAATATCAAAGATAGCAACACATTTCTATAACCTATGTGCTTGAAGTGAGAACCACAGACAAGTTACACAGAGGCARTATCTCCTTGAAAAAGTCTAAATATTAAATGTGGTGACAAGAAAAGTGTTATGACTTTGAATATGGTATTTTTGTTTTATCTGAAGCAGTTTCTCTGCTTCTGTTACAGGTTTCCTTAATGTGTTCAGTAATGTTTATATTGCCAAACAGAGGGTGTTCATGGATGCACTGATTAAGGTTTCTATGTCCTTCAAAGCTCTGGCTTAGGAAGATTTTATCTGAATGTCTTCCTGCCTTATGAATGACTCCTTCCTCTCATATTTGCATTCAATATCTAATGATTRTTAGTGAGGTTCTGTTTGGTTTAAATTGCAGTCAGAACTTCACTTWGACACAAGCAAACAGAATAAACAAATACAATGTCTGTTACTTCCCTGTTGGTCTGAATCACKCATTCATTAAGAAAAAATGCATTTTAAATAAAAAATAAGAAATGTCATCAGTCAGCTCAGATACATTACATCATCAAATGMTGTCTTAATATTTTTATTCTTTCAGTTTGTCTGATCACAGACCTGTTATAGAGCTTCCCCACTGTGAAAATTCAGAAATTATCATCAGGCTTTATGAGATGCCATACTTTCCAATGGGATTTTGGTCCAGGCTGATCAACAGGTTGCTTGAGATATCTCCATACATGCTATCAGGAAGAGGTACAAATCTTTATCTTCAAAAGGAATACTGTACAAGTTTGCTTTGAATGCCAACACCTGCATATTAAAGCTTCAATCCTCAACATTGTTTTGCTTTAGTTAATTTCTGAACACTTCACCAATGTAAGAAGAAGATAGTGGTCATTTTTGTAACTTAGAATAATGCAGGAACRGATAGTGGCTGATCTTCACAGTGCTGTGCAAAAGAAGGTGAAGGTTGTAAGTGGTCCATTTATCTCATTCACATGCTAGAGACAGAGGAAATCCTTATGTTTATGCAATATTAGTATTTGCTTCCACAAAGAATACAGGAAGGGCGATGTCTTCCACACAGAAGTCTCAAAGCTTTTCTTTTATCCAAAGGAAGGGCTATGTTTTTATTTTTTTTCCAAGAATTCCATGCTTTCACATGCAAGTGCTCTAAAAATATCATCTGTAAATGCCTGCTGTTCTAGTATTCAAGTTTCTTCTGAGCATTAAATTCCAGTTGCATCCTGCTATTTYATGAGTGTGTGACAGGAAAAATTTAAATCACAGCTTTTTTACATATTTTGCCTGAGATATTCTATGCTTGAACCTGAATGTACCTAATTTCTGTAATGCCTACCTGCTGCATGAYTTACCATCTGATTAAATATTTATAGTTTGTGGCTATGCCTTATGCCTTACCTTACAAAGCTGACATACAGTTAGCTTTTGTGGGCCTATGCTGCCTRCAAGGTTGTAGCTTTTATTTTGTTTTTCACTTGGGTAAGTATAATCCTACAATCATAATTATATATTCAGAGTACCGTGAATTATTCTTGATATTTAAAAATTGACATTCATATTGGAGATCAGATTTTTAATCTAATTTTGTGTTTTCTAGAGCGAGCTCTTCGTCCTAACAGAATGTACTGGAGACAAGGCATCTACTTGAATTGGTCTCCTGAAGCTTATTGTCTAGTGGAGTCAGCGGTATTTGACAGCAATCCAGACAGTTTCTTGAAAATTACAGCACCTTCTTGCAGAAAAGGTTAATTATTYCTGAGCCTGAATTTTGCTCCAGGTTGATTGCAGCTTGGCATTTTGGTTTGTTGTGCTTTTGCCTTTGGAATGTAGAGTTTAACTTTGTAATTAACAGTATGGCAGATTGAGAGTCTGTAATTTCCCTCTTTTGGTTTCTTAAAGGGTGCATCCTTTTGGGGCAAGTTGTGGATCACATAGATTCTCTTATGGAAGAATGGTTTCCAGGTTTGTTGGAAATAGATGTATGTGGTGAAGGGGAAACACTGTTGAAGAAATGGGCTCTGTACAGCTTTCAAGATGGWGAAGAACACCAAAAAATATTACTTGATGACTTACTTAGGAAGGCTGAAGAAGGTACGTATTTATGCCATTTGAGGTATGTAGAGGTACACTTGTATATCAATATTGCATATTTACTATGCAACATCTTCTTTATAACATTTGTGTACTTCATGTTATTTAGGTGTTTTATTTCCATAAGAAATAATTACAGTATAAATCAAAAGCAACTTGTTTTTCTTATGTAAGAGCTGTCAAGTATATATAAGTACAGAATATGAGAAGATTGCATATACTCTGTAGTCATATAAAAACAAGTGATAGTGGAAAGAATAATTTTGTCGTAATATTGATAATGCAGCTTCAAACTTGGAACTGAATTCAGCACATAGTAAAACTAATACRTGATCTTTTGGTTGGATCATGTAGCAGAGTAATCTAAAAGACAATATTCAATATGGCATTCTATATACTAACAATGTTTTTTCATTTTACAGACAGAAAAATGATCTCTTGGTTAGTTTGTTGTTACATAGTGGCAATTTTTTCACATTTGATTGRTACATATATAGAACCTTGAAAATACTTAAACATGTAAGATCAAAGAATCTGAATGGCAAACCTAATTGTTGTGTATGTCTTTGTGCATATATATAAAAACACATGTATTAATCTAATTTTAGGCACATTGATCTTATGTATTTTCAGAGATCCTCATGCCTTTCATTGCTTGTTGAATGACGCTTCTATTTTTTAATTTTTTTTTAATTTTCTCATTTGTTTTGCTTAGGTGACCTTTTGGTAAATCCAGATCAACCAAGGCAGACCATTCCAATTGCTCAGATTGCTCCTGATCTGATATTGGCTGATTTGCCTAGAAATATTATGTTGAACAATGATGACTTGGAATTTGATGAAGCTCCTGAATTTCTCTTGGGTAAGTACTATTTGTAGGGTGGGTTTTTCTTATAGAGATTATTTAAACAATTCTATTGAAGTCACTTCTGCAACATATAAAAAGCATTTTAGAGATTTCTTTTCTGAAGAAATGTATTATTTTAAGGTATTCTGAATTTCAGATTACTGAGTTTTGAATTTTCCATTAACTTGTGCACTAGGACACTGATTTTATGTGTTTAGTTTACTGATCATRGAATAGGTAATCCATACATTTTTTAAATTTAACCCTTTCATTTTTTTTTCTTTTTTTTTGAGAAATGATTGTTATCCCTTTGTTTATATTGGTCTTTTCAATTTTATTGTTCAAAAGGTGAYGGTGGSTTTGGATCTGTGTACCGTGCATCCTAYGGTGGAGAAGAGGTTGCTGTAAAGATTTTCAATAAACATACTTCCCTCAGGCTCCTGAGACAAGTAAGAAATACTGCCCTTTTTTCTGTAGTGCTGCCCTTGGAATACCAGCCCTAGAGAAGAGCTTTAAAAGTTTAAATAAATTGCAAATCTTCACTCCAAAACATTCCTCAGTTTACTTCAGATGTAGAGTGATTATGCTATTTGCATTATTTTGTCTGATTTTACCATTTACAGGAGCTTGCAGTGCTTTGTCACCTCCACCACCCCAGTTTGGTRTCTTTGCTGGCTGCTGCAATCCGTCCCCGGATGCTGGTGATGGAATTAGCCCTCAAAGGATCTCTTGAYCGTTTGCTTCAACAAGACAATGCAAGTTTAACCAGAACACTTCAGCACAGGATAGCTCTACATGTGGCTGATGGCTTAAGGTAAATGTGACTTCTGCACTGCCATGAAAACAGGATATAGCTTCAAATACAATATGCAGTAAATGAAAAGCTTCTGTTCTCTCACATCCCAAGCAGAATATTTCCTGTGTCTTTGCCAGAAAAATGCTTGTGTTTTCATGGTTGATGAGCTGAAACCTAACATGTACTTTTGTTACCTGTTTTTTTTCCAGCTAATGAGTGATGCTCATATTAGAAGAGAAATTGCAAGACTCTGGGTGCAATTTCTGTGTGGGTGTTGATCTTGTACTGAAATGTCAAAGTAATTAATTTAGTGCATTTCTTTAGTTCTGAAAGTCCATGATGGACCAGRGGAGCTATTGCAGTGTGACTTTAAAATGACAAAACCTGCAGGGGGGCTTGGGATCAAAGAAGCTTAAGGTTCTAAGATGCATTTTGCAAACTATCAGTGACTCTTTGTATAAAACTTGATACTAAAATACTGCAATGTGAATAGTAAACAGTAAGTAGTAAATAGTAAATAGTATTTCAGAACAATTCTGAAGTTATTATCCAGAAAGGCTGTATCATGTTGGTGATGTTTAACATTTTTAACATAATATTTCATGTTTGAAAGCACAATTTACTGTTGTGGGAATAATGCACTCAGTGTGTAAACATAGATGCATCCCTGACTTATGAATGCTTTCAATAAATATTTTTTGCTTACTAGGTACCTGCATTCAGCAATGATCATCTACCGTGATTTAAAGCCTCACAATGTGYTGCTCTTTACCTTATATCCCAATTCAGCTGTTATTGCAAAAATAGCTGACTATGGCATTGCCCAGTATTGTTGCCGAATGGGAATAAAAACTTCTGAAGGCACACCAGGTATGGAAATATGCTTTGACTTAAAGTCCATTATGCCCAATAATAGCTAATATATTTTTATGTAGTCTGAAAGAAGTCACTCAAATCTATATTCTAGTCAAAATCACAAAAAGGAGTCTTAATCTATTACAAGTTGTGATGCCTCTTGGCCTTTCCTCCTGTTCATGTTTTAACACCTTTTAGAAGAATCAAGGAGTATTTTAAAGGTTTTAAAATAATTCATTATAATTTTTTGCTGTCTTGTTTTAATATGATTATTGTGATATTGAAATTACGCTGCTAAAATTTGTTGTTTTAATTTTTAGTAATATGTACAAGGTTCTTAATTTTTTTAAGGCAATAAATACCTGCACTGTTCCTGGACTTTAGAGAGAACATATTAGCATCCATTATAAAGCATTGAATAATTCAATCACTTTGAAAAGTATYTTTAGGTCTTTTAAATTGTGCTTCAGTGTGACTTCAATGTTAAATGGTAGACCTTGAATAAAGACTGCAGACTTGCCCCTGATTTTCAGCATTCATTGATAAAGTAATTACTGTATATTAAATGGTGCAGGAGTTCTGTAACTGATGTATTATCCCCTTCCTTTGTACTTACYGCTGATATTTTTGGAGATCTGCCAAATACAGGCTATTGCCAGCCCAGAAATAGTTTGGTGTTTTTGCTTGCACTTCCTGTGCCATTTTTATCAATAATTGTTTACTTTTAAAAGTATAAAAATGGCTTCATCTTGATAKGAAGCATAACTACTAATGAATGATTTATTTTTAGGATTTCGAGCTCCAGAGGTTGCCAGAGGAAATGTTATTTACAATCAGCAAGCTGATGTTTATTCATTTGGCTTGCTGCTTTATGACATTTTAACAGGAGGAGATAGAATAATGGAAGGCTTGAAGTTTCCAAATGAATTTGATGAACTAGCAATACAAGGAAAGTTACCAGGTATGACTTGTTTCTAAAAGTTTTAACAGTTGTCCTACCTCTTCCAAAAATTGGACCCCTTATGGGTTATGTTGTATCTTACAGTGATCAGGGAAAGAGACTAAATAATAGCAATTTTTAGAAGCTTCTCCTAATTTCATATGATCTTGAAATAGTGAGGAATAGACATATATTCAGAATCACATTGATTATCGTTCCACTGTAATTTCAATTTAGAAAGMATTTAGGTGTTTCACTTTGTAAAGAAAGRGAGGGTATGTATACTTGGAACTTCRTCCAGGGCCAGCTAAAAGGGGTGTTGCTGAAGGTTCTTTCTAGTACGTGTCTGGAGTCAACTGTGATACTTAATGACTGTGATAACGCACGTCGTGCATGAAAATAAAGACAATTCTAATTCTGTTCTTTGATTGAGATATATTACATTAAAATAYTCATTATTGAGAAGCTGTATGTCTTTAAATCTTTTTTAAAACCCTTGAATACTTAGAAAAATGTAACATTCTTCATATTCCAACTGCATTACAATACATAATTGTTGGCTGCTGGAAGATGGAACATACTATCAGGCTGGACATGATGTAATCATCTGGACAATGTAACTCAGTGTTAGACAACTCCTGCCAAAGTGTCAAGAGCTGTTGAATTTTTATTGCACTACAAGCTTCATGYTGGTGTTCTTATTTATGTTTCATTCCATCTGGGAAAGAGCAGCATCACTTAATCTGACATGACTTCTCCATTATGAGAGACAGAGAGTTCATGCATTTACTGCTCCTTCAGGAGACCAGTGCAGTTCTAAGCTTAGTTCCCACTCTCTTCTGAAGGGGATATCCCAGGAACTGATAACTGAGTGTTTCTTGAGGGCAGCTGTATTGACTGTATTAGGAGCCCTAYAAAATAATTGAAGTGTAAGTTTCTGGAGATAGTACAGTTCCTTCCACCTATGCACATGCTCATCWTTTATTTATTTCCACCAAAAGAGGGGCTGGCTGACCTGACAAGTAAACAGTGCCTGTCATTTGCTCCACTGAGTATGTTCATATACAGGTATTCATCACTGATGTTRCCTCTAAGGCAGGACTGGAATATGTGCTGTGGATTATGATGAACTAAAAGGAAATGCAATACAGACACCATTATTTATGAGTGATTTGTTCTTAGAGATTTCAGCACCTGTAATCATAAGATACATTTTCTAAGCAGTGAGTGGGAATTTAAACTTCCATATCTTGTAAATACTATATGGAGTCATTTGTCTAATTGCTATATGTTTTGTTGGAAATTCATCTGTATTCCATCTACTCTGCTTAAAYACWRAAGTATAAATGTGGTGAATAGTGTTCAYAGGAATTTGAAAGATTATTGACTGAAGTGACATACACTTGAATGGTCAGCATTAATCAAAACACAGCCCACATATATCTGCAATTCAGTCCCAGACTAGGGACATTAAAGAAAAGATAAAGGAAAATCCATTTGCTTTAACTGCTCTTAATTAAAAGGATTCTGGTTATAGCATTTCACGCTCTAGCATTTAATGGCAGATGAGCAATTCCAAGCTGTTCATGCTGACATTTTACCTAAGAATGTGGTATTTCTTACAGCAGCTTGGTAAGAAATTAGATGAATTCTTAAAATAAGAAGAAGGTTACTCAGAACTATGGTAAATGCTGGTTAAGAAGTTATCTAATTTTACATTCTAGATCCTGTCAAAGAATATGGGTGTGCCCCCTGGCCTGAAGTTGAAAATTTAATTAAAAAGTGTTTGAAGGAAAACCCTCAGGAACGGCCAACATCTTGCCAGGTATTAGTTAATGGGTTGTTTTTGG